GCGCTGAGTGTTTGACTGTGGGGTTGTTGAGTGGAGAAGACCCTGTTTTGATTAGCTGTGCTAATCTCTTGCGGGCAGACAAGGATTCCTTATGGTCTTGGCGCGCTCTAGTGGGCCCGCTGCTGCCGTGCCATGATTCATCTAAATGACAGCCTCTCAAATGGAGCAAGTTGTCTGCTTATCTCCACTGTTGTCCTCGACTCCTCACCAGCACGGCCACAAGCCAGAGACACAAGCCAGAGCCACAAGCTCCACTGGCTCTGAAGTAGTCATGTCTTACACAGTAGCCTCACATTCCACCAGCCAGTGTGGATGGCCGCGCTGACGACCATGGCTACCTGCATGGAGACACACTGTCCACTTCCTCTTCCATTCATCTTCCTGGCTGCCTCTCTGGCTGCCATTTCTGTGCCAACGGTAATGCGAAAGGCATTTATTCTCTGCGCAGGATATGAACCGCAAAGGCACATTTCCACCTGCATTTCAAAAATGAAAGGAATTTAGCTGCGACCTCTTAGACTTATAGCTTCTCCAGAGGATGGCTATGATTCATGAAGAGAAGGTACTATATTATCTGTTGCTCTCCAAACATGAATATGGCATAAATCAGTGTTTCCTGCTAACAAGAATTAGACAGCAGTGATTAATGGTAGAGTAGAATCTTTCCATGACAATGATTAATTAAGAAGAAGAGTCATTTGCACACATTTAAGGAATGACTAAACTTGTGTGATTCCACATTTGTCTACAGTATTTTACATTTGATTTATACACTTATTTATGGGAATAGGTACTGATTTCAACGTTGCTTTTTTTCCAGTGAGAAATGGGATTGGTGGCTTGTCACATTGTTTCTCTGCATAAAACAAACATAATTAAATAATGATAAGAATAGATCATTTAACAACTTCTGTGCTAAGTAAAGCAAAACTAAAATAATTCATGCATGCTCAGCAAGCAAAGGTTGATGCATGAAGGAAAAAAAGCAACACTACCCTATGATACCTTCAATGGGAGTGGTCAAAGACAACATTGATCCCCACGATGATGTATGTCAATGAGAGATAATAAAACCAAGGGGACCACTAGCATTTTATCAGAGGTGAGAGACTCAGCCCATGCTGCCAGCAAAGACCAAAGAGCCAGTGTTTTCAAAGGGATCACCATACACCTGCTGACTGCCAAAGTCAATCACCCCTTTATCAATCCTATTCAAACAACCTGTCCCTATTTAAAAGTGGATGACAGTAATGCATTCCTCCACTGTTTGTGTTTCCAAATATGTGCACGATGGCTCACAAATGATGTCTTTGTTGTGAGGGTGGTATACGTCACTTCATGCTGTGCTTCTGCATACCTGCAGGGATTTTGTGTGGTCGGCCGCCGCTGTGCTACCGTGGTCGTCATGGGAATCTGTAAGTGTTTGATCGGTTCTGATCATGTTTTCCGAGCGCCGAGGGCCTGTTGTGTTTGCACAGATGCGTAAGGCTGTCAGGGTTGTCTTCCAGATGTGACAGTGCTGCGAAAGCCAGTGATGGATGACCAGGAGCTTGGAAAGAGTGGTGCAATTCTTACAATATTTGGTGTGCTGTCAGCCTCTATATATGTATGTGTGTATGCACATATGCAAACACTACATGCCTGTGTGTGCAGTCGACTGTTTTTAAAAGAGTGAGTAAGTGAGCATAACGGAAAAGAGCGTCAGCCAATCAAACCTCTCAAGAATCACTTTTTCAAGTTAGCAACGGATTCTGAGGATTCCTAATTGCCTCTTTTGTCCCTTTCAAAAACACAAGACGTGGCCAAAAATAATGGCCAAAGTTAGTTTGAGTTTGCACACTTGTTCATTAGTGGAGCCTCAATGTCTGCTACTCTTCACATCCCACCAAGCTGTAATACAACTGCTGGAGACACTGGAGATACTGGAAACTAAGCTTCTTTAAGTGACACGTCAGCGCGCCTCATACAATTGGTTGCGCAACAGCAGCGTCTCTGGGCCAAAGCACCAGCAGCACAGCCCACAAAATAAAACCAAGAGAGCCTTCATCGCACCGTGGAGGCCACACTTCACAGCGAGCAGTCAGTGACCAAAAGGCTCCACTGCACAGGGCCTCAATTTGGATATGCGATGGGCAACTGGTGCTAACATGCAAGAGCTGCATCCAATGAGCATCCAATGGGTTTGGGAGAGAAGTGGCTCCTCACAAACAGGCCTTTCATGTGGTCGTCGGTTTAAGTGCTCTAATGCTCGGCGAGACACTGAGGCCTAAGCGTGGGGAAATGGAACAATACATTTAACCACATGAAGCAAAGCACCCGGGATTACTTCAGCACATATTCTCTCTCTCTCTCTTTCCTCGTTCGTTGAATCACAGTCTCTCACTGCAATTTAATTCTCCCTGCCTCCCTTGCAAACACACATACATACAGTACTTGCCCTTGCAAATGAGCACCACCATAAACAGGGAATTTCTCTCTAAATCCTTTACACACACACACGCGCACACAGACACACACAGTAGACGGTATATTACAAAATAAGGCTTATCACTCATGCAAAATTACACCATTGCGCATTCCAACAAAAAACATTATAAGACAGTATAATTGAATTATAACTGCTCTAACAATGACTTACGCGCATTATTGCCGGTTAAAAAATGTTTTCCCTCATATTTTTATGTGTGAATTTGGGTACGTTTGACAAGCACACATCTCTTGTACAAGAGAGGAACAGTTGCATGCGCCCACAATCCCGCCTAAACAAATGGCAGTCGCTCACTCTATCCTCCTCGCTCTCTCCCTTACATTCTGTAAAGACATATGTGCATATCCCTTTGTCCATCAGTGTGAGAAGAAGAAGACGCTGTACTTACACTAACCCCACCTGCCTGCATCTCAGCACAAAACCAAAACACTTAAACAGGCCCAACATTGTGTCATCATTGGGCTCACAGCACCCTTATCTTCAAAGTTCAGTTCTCCCACACGTGTGCAGCAACCTTGGGTCACCACCAGACTAAAGGATGGGTATGGCTTCTCCCCAAACATGTTGTTGTTACACCCCACTGGAAATGGTATCTGCTGCTCCTACTTGAAGCTCTTTTTGCATGCTGGCAGTCGCTGAACAGGTAGTTATAATGAACTGCTTGTCAACTGCAGTCACACGTGCGTGTGACTACACAAGTATAGATTTATGCAACTCTATTCCAGTACATTCAGACCACCATAACTTATTGTGGAAAGTAATGATCTGCTTGGGATACGCATAGCCATAGATAAGTGAATTAAATGGTACTTTGTTAAACCACAAGACTGTGGAAATTGATGTCAAATATTTGGTGAGACAGAAACAAGCCTTCGTCTGTCTGAGAGCCACTGGGAGGACAGCTCTCCAAAGACGCAGACACCAAGAGCCCCCATGAAGATGATGACAGCTATGTGATGCCACAACACTGCAATGACCGTAACGGACTGTGTCAGATGTACTTATGTCAAGGCGCCCAGACATTGCCAATGGGAGATTCTGTGCTCTTTGTCTTCTCAATGTGCACATGTGAGTTTGATTTGTAAAAAAGAAGAAAAAAAAATCACATATATTTCATGCATTTCAAAATGGATATTAGTTAAGAAAAAACGCCCCCTTTGTCAAAAAGAAAATGTGATTTCCATTCACGGAGGCTGTCGGGACAGGCTGCATGTTAAAGTTGCTATTGTCAAATGTTTGAGCTGGTTTGATGCATTCAGACTTCACAACACATAAAACAAGGTAAAATCCCTGTACTCACCCACATACATTCCGTTCTCTACCCTCTTGATGATGTCGAAGGCGTTCTCCACGTTGCCCTCCAGTATGTCAAACTTGACATCGTAACTGCCTAAGTGATAGGACCCGTAAGCCGGCACTGTGGTTCTCAGGAAAACAATCTCTGTTGGAAGATAACAATTAGACAAAAAAACCTTTTGGAGCCTAAACCCTCGTAATCACACTGGGATTGCACCGCCAAGCCAGTGCCAACTCTTGCTTTTCTTTTTTTCTTTGTTCTTTCAGAGTGAAAGACAATAAAATTGGAGATGGAAACGTCTGTGTTTATTGTACACTGAGAGGGTCACAGGAAGGTTGAGGCTTTTCAATGTTGGGCTAAAGGGCCTCAAGTCCTTTACACCCCAACTCCTAGCTTACGAGAAATGACAAGAGCTTAACTCCCCGTGACGTTGTGCATGAGTGTGTCTGAAACATGCATTGCATGTCAGCCAGTAGATGCTTGTGAGCTGTCACTGTCTGCAAGTGATTATCATGGTTACTCATATCCACCCAGCATGGCACTTACTCTCTGGTGTGGGCCAGCCAAGACCGGACTGCATGGAGAACATCATGGAATAACTAATTTGGGGGTCAGAGGTATAGTCATATGGATTCTTACAGCTGCAGGGAAATGCATTTGATGTGAGCTCAGAGATTAAGGGGGATAAAGTGGAGCTAAAGAGAAGAAAAAAAAGACTGTGGACCACATTGACACACAAAAAGAAATCATGTTTCCAAAGATTTTAACAGAACATTCTGTAACAAAATGAAGCGTCAATTATGGGCTTTTGTTGTTAGGGAACATGTAGAATACATTTTAGATGGGTTTAGATGAGTCAGTACATTTTAAGTATGGCATTGAAACAACAGATCAACACTTTGGGAAATACATTAATTTGCTTTCTTGTCAATAATTCTATGAGATGATCGATATACTCTTAGCTTACAGTTATCATGAACCTAGAGCTCTTAGCTGGTTTGCCCATCTGGATTACACCAACAATTCCATAATGAGAATGCGCATCAAAAGGTTGACCTGTACCTACCCTCTGGCTTTGTGAACTCTCTGAAGGTGGGCAAGGAGATGAAGGTGTGGGACACTGAGTGCATGGGGTCCAGAACACAGGCGACGTCATTGGGCTGACAGGACTTTGTACAGCGAATGGTGTCAGAATGAAGCCTTGCAACTCTAAAGGAGGGAACAGACATTGAAAAAAAAAAAGAAAGCACAAACACACACACACATGGCCTCAGACCTTTAGGTAATGTCTCTAGAAAGACTTCAGAGTCAACTGCCTTTGGTTTCCCAAAGCTCACAATAACAAGGCATCCTTAAGGGCAGCCCACTGCGTAATCAAGAACTCAGTGAGACAACTCCAATGGCCGCTATACAAACAATATCTGAACAAGACAGCAGGGATACTGGATGTAGCAGTCAACATCAAAAACAATCTTATTCTATGTGATTTGGAAGAATAATAAACCAACAATGGCCAAAGCTCATGTCGAAGCCAACCTTTGTAGCTTGTGGAGACTAGCGCTTGCCATTGATGCTTTTCTGATGCACGATTTCAAGCTGTGTGGGAAATGAATTACTACACCCACAAAGAATGATCCACAACCTGCTCAGGAAAATATTTGGATTTGCTGAGCATCTCCGGCTTCACATCAGATAATCTCTTGAGGAGGATTTATGGGGCAAGGGAGTATTCTAAAAGACTCCTAAATTGTGAGCAACATGACTAGACAACTCCCCAGCCTCTCCCCAGGGCAGCTCTCATCCTATTATTTAGGGCTTTGTTTATTCCACAGACTAATCAGTGACAGGTCGGAGGGAATAGAGGGCCTCTGCTGGCTCCTAAGGCTAACGCCACCTGAAGTATCCCTATTCACTACCTGTCTGCTACATAAGACTTTAAAAGAGGCTTCTAAGGCACTAACAACCTCATAAATCAAGAGTTTGTCTTTGAAACAATGAGAAACTTGTGATCACGAGAGAGCTATTGAAACTAAATAAAAGCCTTGCGTTCGACATCCAAGATGTTAAATTTAAGCTCGGTTTTCACAAAGGAGACAAGTCAGTACACGGTTATATTGGGTTATGAAAACAGCCAAGTTGCCATGTATAAGTCCAGTTAATGTGCATGGCAGCCATATAGCCGCATTGTGAGTCATGGGCCGTGGATCTCTGGCGCTCCTCGAGGGACCTATATGCTGCAGCTCAAAGCCCAGGCCCGGCTTGGGTTGCAGGGCTCCTTCCATGGAGAGTGAGGAGAGAAGCCCCTGACAAAAAGTCAAGCCACCACTGGGTAGGGGCTTGTAATTAGCAATTAGCGGGTGGGTCCAAGTTTTGCTTTGGCCCGCGCCAAACCCACAAAATGTTCTCCTAGTTTATAATACCACAGCCTGAGCTGCAGAAAGACCCGAGCAGGGCTCTAGAGGACAAGGTGAAAGCTCTGTTGGGGCAGAGAGTAAATTTACGAGAAGATAATGCCCCAGGATGAACTGCCCCCTTCAAAGCAAGGGCAGCAAGTGGAGCTAATTACAGCTTCATGTGTGTGTTAATATATGTATATTTCTGCACCCAAAATACCAATATGGTTGTGTATGTTTACTTGTGCATGTGTGCCTTTGTGCATGCAAACATGCTTCTGTATATGTATGTGTGTATGTGTGTGTATGTGTGTGTGCGCGCGTGCATGCACTAATGCACGTCTTCTTCATCTCCCCCATGCGTCACGTGGCCCAGCCCAGGAGAAAAACCCCAATACTTTCAGACCAGAAAGAAAAACAGACTGTTTGGATGAAAGTCCTCTGGTCAAGCGTAAGGCCTTTTATTTTTTTTGGTAATTATTATTTATAGTCGGCACATTGATAACGACCCAACACAAACACTGCAGGGCATCATTCATTCTGTGCGCGGTGATGTTGCTGGACCACAAATTGTTCAGACCACCGGCCAGAGCCCAGAGCCCCATAACTCAATGTCAAAGGGGAGGAAAAAACCTTCTGCGCACCACTATGTTCTTATTTTAAGGATATCCCCACTAGGGACCAAGTGCATCCTTACTGGCCTGACAGCTCAGGACAGGAGGAACCTAGGACATCTGAATTTACAGTTATTATAAGCCACAGCCCTCGGGCAGCAGCCTCACAGCATGTCAAACTATTTATACCCACTCCTGCTGGTGCACATTTCCCTCTCCTTTGCCACTGCATCCCATCGCGTGTCACTTACTCAGCCTTCATTTGGATTATCTGTCTGCTTTGGGGTTTACACCCGCAGTATGCAGTGGAAATCTGTGCATTTCACATTAAGTCTAAAATGTAATGGGAGCTAAATAGATGTGCATGAAAATAACTGCCACAGAAAGACATATTTGCGATGCAAGGTAACTGATGTTTGGGAAGTGGGAGCAACAATGCATTAAAAGGAAAAGTCTGGCTCATTTTTGATAGGAATTTGGATGTGAAGAATTAATCTATGGACTTAATAAATAGTGAAATTTGACATATATGCTCATATAACTGAAGGGTTTGACTTATCGATGGGAAATTTGACTTGTAATGTTTCTTGGCCGATTTAAAATACAGGCATTTTGCTTCTGTGTTTACAAACATTACTAATGTAGGAACGCTTTAAAATCATCAGGAGACAATAATAACTAAATTGTATAAATAAAATATGTTGCTTCATAGCGTTAGCATTAAAATACCTTGTGTATAGATACATGTAGTAATGTATAGCTTCGAATATATACATGACTAGAGATTTGCATATATCAATGGATTCCCTCTTGACTGAAGATGTTGGAATAATAGTAATATGAAACTATGTGAGGAAGTCACATAGCCTCCATCTGTGATTTGGCCTCACATTCCAGCTTCTCCCTTTACAGTATTTGATTAAACCCTACAATGTACCATTATCAAGAACTGGATTTGACTTGAACATGTGTTATTTCTATTTCAATTTTAATAGAAAACTGTTCATCCAACACAAAAACCATAAAATCCTGCAAAATCTCAGACTTTATCATGCAACCGTCATCAAATTACACTCAGTTAAAGGCAGACTTGGGTCGGTAGACTCGTTACCATTTTATGATTTAACCTGACCTAGAACGCCACCTAGCGGCTATCACGATGCCTTACCTCCACGAAGAAAGATTCAGTTACACCTAATTCCTAATGCAGAATAAATGGTCCTTAAATCTAGTGTTAACAAGTTGATTATGTAAAATGCTACATGATATGCTATCAAACTGTGCTTCTTTCTTCTCACTCTGTGAGTTGTATTGTTTTTTCATATCCACCCTTAAACAATGATGTGCCATTTTAACGCGTGCTTAGTGTCGAACAAAGTCATTTTTGTGGTAATTCTTTACCAAAAAAGTGAAATAGAAAATGCTGGATGATTGACCGGACAACCAGAAGTGACACGAGAGGGTGGAGCTGCAACTGAACGTGGACATTTGTCGACGACCAAAATGTTACAATTAACTTCCATGAACTATAAACACACCATGAAAGGTTAAAAGTTCTAAAATGTAAAAACACGGACAACTTACAGGCCAGACAACGCCGTGGTTGTCTGGCCTGTAAATCAACCTCTAAATCACAAGGTATCCATGCCCTGAAGCATATCCTGCTTTATCATCTACTGTACTCTAAATGGGACCCTAATTTACTAAATCAACATCATGATTAATTGAAGAAGACTTGAAACTAGCGATTGAGACCTTGGGTATCAGTCTCCTCATCTAGTCCCGAATATATCAAAATATTCCTTTAAGAATATGTATGTGTATGTACTTGGTCTCAAGTGAAATTGGCTTTTTTTTTTGTCAAAGTCCACATTGTCAATTAATTTGTATATTTTAAGAAGATGGGATAATGCACAGATACTGTAGGAAGGACTACATGGGGTCATTAGGGGCCCTTAGTTAATTTATGGATCAGGGCCCCAAAGCTGGTTCATCAGGCCATGAGTCAATACAGCCATGAGTTTAGACAGGCCGAAACCTATTAAGTCAATGGATGACAGAAACATGAATTATCTTTAGTAGTAAAGATGAATATTGGTCTTATAATGATCATTAATTGGAAATCATAGCATATATTTGTATATTTATCTGAATGCATCCATGCAGTATGCCACATAAAGTTGCACTTTGCTATCAACATACTGTGTGGTCATCTTGCATGCATTTTGTGTTGTGGATGAACTTTTTCTGTTTTCTCTTCGAGACAACGCATTTAAAATGACACATCCTTTTTTAAGAGTGCAGTAACTTGTGCAACCCTACGCAACTCCTGTGTTTATTCTAGGAGGGGATTGTAAGGTACTCTGGGCTCCTCCTGGGTAACAAACACCAGCACTTTAGCCAAGTATGTGCTGAGCGTGCTGTAGCGACGCAGCCTTAGCTCCAGAGACAGCTCTAAGTCCTGTGGCTTGTTGATGAGCTTTGCCACCGACATCACGCCACCGTTGGGCACCTGCTCTGTCTGGAAGAAACCGCCCTCGTTGCCGGCAGCGATAACAATCCGGATGTCATCGCCGGCCACGGTGTGGGTGGGGCCCATGCGGAAGATGTTGGTGAAGACGGGGATGTTGGTGGGGAAGGTGAGGTGGTAGTAGGTTATTCTCAGGGGCATGGCCAGGCACTCGACAGACTCATTGCAAAGCAAGCGTTCACATCGACTGTAAATAGAGAAGGGGGGGGGCAGACAGAACAAACAAGGCACAAAGAGAAGGAGAGAGAGAGACCAGGTGTAAATAAAATTTGTCGTGCATGGCATGCAGTGGAAGGAACATCGGTCTCTGCAGCATAATACTTCACAGGCCAGTCATGGTGCCCTCTTTGTGGTCATGCAAGGAGTTATTTACTGGTGCCTGCAGAGGTCATACACAGTCTCTACTGTAACAGAGCCAATGAGGAAGTATCCTTGTGCATTTCATCATTCTAAAACAAGAGGACATGCTACAGCCGTATATTTTCCGAAGTCATTCCAGCATTGAGCACACTGGACATGCAGAGCCTTGAATAAAATATGAGTAGGGGTTTGGTTTAATGGACCTTGCTCGCTGAGTGTATATTTGTCTGCGGTTTTGTGTCTTTTAATTATCATATTTCCATGAGCACAGAGTACATATTTAAGGTTGTGTCTGTTGACAAATGTGTCCTGTTCAGCAACAATGTGTACTGAATCCAAATACTCACGTCTCTCCAACACGCCGATAGTTGTTTGGGCACTCGAAGGACAAGCATCTGAATCCTCCCTGCACATTGAAGCAGCTCTGATTCACTGAGCATGTGTGTGTTCCTGTAACGCATTCATCAATATCTGGGAGGAAAAAGACAAAAAAAGTAGAACAATTTTATTTCAAAACATTCACAAAAATAAATACCAAAATTGCACGTGTGGGATAGCTTACCCTGGCAGCTGCGCCCATTGGGTGCCAAGGTGTAGCCACTGACAGGACAGGAACAGTGGAAGCTGCCAGGGGTGTTGTGACAGCGATAGGAGCAAATATGACCTCCGGTGGGCAGGGCACACTCATCTATATCTAAAAGTGTGACAGAGACAGATAAACACAAGTCAAACCAAACAGTAAATTAAAAATATATATATTTTAATTATATTATAATATATATATATATATATATATATAGATAATACAGTTTGCTTTATTGTATTCTCACACACAAGCCGACTCTTGCATTTTTTTGATTTTTCAAAATATTCCTGTGTACTCAAGTATCTGTTAAAATGGCTAAATTTTACCTTCACAAGTCATGCCATCTATATCACTGAGCTGGTAGCCACGTCGACAGTAACACTGGTAGGACCCGTACACGTTGGCACACTCTTGACTGCATGGGTTGCTCTCGCACTCATTCAAATCTATGCAGAGAAAAGATTATTACAGAGCATTATGCACTCTATCCTAATACTTTACTAACACGGACACCTCAAAAGCATAAAAACCAAGCACCTGCAGAGAGGCGGATCCTCACCTGTCCACTTCAATATGTAGCCTACTACATAAACAGTTACTTTCATCGGTACGTACCTGATTTGCATGTGAACAGGAGACGCAAAAAAAAGTTGCAGTTCTCTAGGTATTTGTCTTACCGTCACAATTCCTGCCGTCAGCGGCTAGCTTGAAGCCGTTGGTGCAGCTACACTTGTAGGATCCCAGAATGTTTTCACATTTATGAGCACACAGGCGGCCAGGGTAGTGCCTGCATTCATTAACATCTAAAACACAAAGTCCAAATATGCCACAAAATGATCTTATACACATTTTGAGCAGCACTGATAGACGTTCAGTTCTATATGTATGTTTTATTTATTTATGCAGAGGATACACTTGGATTTAGCTACTTGTGTTACAGCACCTATCGAGATGGACCAGCTGCTTACCCTCACAAGTACGACCGATGCTGTTGAAGGTGTAGCCAGCCTCACACTCGCAGCGGAAAGAGCCTATCATGTTGATGCAACCATGACCTGCACAGACCTTTTCAGGGCCGTTACACTCATCAATATCTGTGGAGGGGGAAGCAAACAACAGGGAACACCATGATATATGCACCTCGGACAGGTTAGTGAGATGCTTTGTTACCTAGGATTGGTGAGTTTTTCAGCCGTACCAACACAGCGCGTGCCTTCTTCATTGACGTGGTATCCTCGACCACAGTTAACGGAGTTCCTCTGGCAGATGTAGGAGCCGACTGTGTTGATGCAGATCTGCCCGCGGTGACAGGGGCCCATCTGGCTAACACATTCATTGATGTCTAAAAACACAGACACAGAGGACATTTTTAAATCATGAAAACATTGCCCTGGTCCATCTTACATAATATATCTGAATATACAGTTCTTTAAATGTTCTGTGTTTACCTGTCATACTAACTCTCCCTGTCATTGCCGATCCAGCCACTCCCTCTCGCCCTGCACTAACCCCTTTCCCACCATTCCCCTCACCTGAAGACCTGCGAGCACTTCCTCACCTGCTCCCCATTTCCCTGATTAGTCCTGCAGGATTCATGTAGAGTCCATCTGCACTCTGTCTTTGCCAGCGTGTCTAGTGTGCATCTGTCTAGCTTACTTATGTTATTCTGCCTATTTAGTCACAGGTATAGTCACCTAAAATATACATGTAATATACAGTATGCAGTTGTTGTTGTTGTTAAGGGCTGTTGTAGGTGTATGGTGCATACCAATGCAGTTGCCGAGGGCATCCTGGATATAGCCGGGACCACACTTCACCTTAGGGAGACAACGGAACGACCCCTGGGTGTTTTGGCACTCAAACTCTGGGCCACAGTTGTGGATGCCAGTCTCACACTCATCAATGTCTGGATGTAGAAATCACAGCAAAATTGCCATTGAACACACTGACAAAAAAACATGACTCAGACACACAGTAACAGAGGCAAACTGAGTGCCCTGACCTTTGCAGTTGTTGTCGTCAGTGAGTTCATAGCCAGTACCGCAGCTGACCTCTCTCTGGCAACGGAAAGAGCTCTCTGTGTTGATACAACGCTCTCCTCCGCGACAGTTGCTGGCTCCCAACAAACACTCGTTGATATCTAAAAGTTTTTGAAAGCAGAGGTTTGTCTTACTGTGCTGATATTTCCAATAGTAACACATATTATTATAGTTAAAAAAAAAAAAATAATTGTTCTCTGTGCTCTGATTTCTTTGTCACGGGGGGGAGGAGCGCCGCCTACCCTCACAGCTCTTTCCATCTGGCTTGAGTTTGTAGCCTTTGAAGCAGGAACAAGTGTCATTGCCCACACAGTCATGAGCACATTTCCCTATAAAAGAAACACAAACATGTTGATAAGTGATCACGGCGTTTGCGAGATTGATTCAGTTAGGTGTAGAAAAGCTTGTTTATCGACGTATTAAACCATACCTTTGCACTGGTCACTTAATATCGAATTTTCTCCGTTGTCAGTGTTTTCATCCATGTTTGGTACTGTATGAGAGAAAACCAAACATGTTCATATGCCTTACATCTCAACAGCTCATGCCTCTATCTTAACAAAGAGCACTAAACCATAAACAAATATTGCTATTTTTTTTTTCCAGCACTGCAACTTACGATTATTTTCATTACTAATTAAACTGCTGTCTGTCAATCAATTCAAAACCCCAAAACTCTCACAACTGATAAGTTGCTGCTGGGAAATCTTTGGTAGTTTTGCTGGAGTGCTCATGAGCAACACATTAAATCTCTAATTGCTGTTTACCTCCATATCCAACAGAGGGCAGTGTGGGCTTATGTTTGACAACACCAGCAGCGCCTTCAATTTTCTTCATTCTTATGCTCATCCTCCACTATTTTGATGATATTTTTTATGTGTTTGGGCACAGGTTTTCCCATGGGGCTTTCTGTTTTTCTACCCTAATGTAAGTTGTCTGCTTTGATGCAAACAAAATTTGCAATAATATTTGGTCTACTTCATGCTGGCTTTTTATCACCCACATTCAGTTTTTTGTGTGGGTGTGGTCTGGTTGTCTGGGGCTCCATCCATGCAGCAGGCCCGGGACACCAAGCCACACTGGTAGCCCACCGACAGGTTGTGGTCACAGGGTAGATCCTTCGCCTGGGTCGCCTTCCCCAGAAGACAACAGTCGCAGCACATCTGCAGAACACAGAGAAGAATACAATAGGATAAGCTTTGGGGCATAATAAAGACTTAAGTCATACAGTAGATAATTATCACCCTACTCAGCTCTCTAATGCACCAGGGGGAAATAAACCAAAACTGCAGGCAAGAAAAGGGAGACTTTGGGATGACAAAACAGGGTTTTACACTGACGACTGAGGAGGATGGGATTCAGACACACAGCCAAGCTCTCAATCAACCTGACAGACAAAAAAAGGAGGCTGATTGAGAAGGCATGCCAAGGGACTGGCTTCACATAGACAGATAGACAGATAAAAAGCAGTAACGACGGACAGAAAGACAGTGATGAGATGACATCATCCCCTCTGGCTCAAGCATGCTCAATCAGTCATTATGGCAGCCTGGTAATGTCAGTCTGGGAGGGGGATGAAAGGTGCAGAGTGTGGGGGATGGGTGTGTTTGTGTTTCACTTTGGGCAATAAGAGTAGGCTATAGAGGGTGTCGAGGTGGTGATAGTGCGATTGGAAACATGCCAGTTTCTTTCCGCAGCCCTTAGGTGGCCAAAATCAGAGTTAATAAAACGTGCATCATAACACGCGTTCATGATCCGAGCTCACTGTTAAAGAAATTTTTCGACTAGATGAGCAGCTTGATACCACACTAATGCATAGATAGTATCAGTCTGGAGGCGGAGAGCTTAGCTTCGTGTAAAGACTAGGAACAGGGGGGAAAGCTATAACCTAGCTATCTCCAAAGGTAACAAAATCAGCATAATAGCATCTAAAGCTCACTGACATGTTATACCTTGTTTACAGGTTGTGGTTTTAAGAGAAAATATGTGCTCAACTTTTTCTCGCAGGGACTTCATTTTTTATTTATTTCTAGTTAATTATTTATTTAATTCTTTCTTTCTTTCTTTCTTTATTTACCAGGGACAGTGCACATTAATCCACATTTCAGTTTCCACCTCAATGTAAATGTGCCAGAGAGCTCATTTCTGTCTGTAGTCCCTGGGGCAGGTTATTACAATGTAGTGGCTTAATATTATCAGTACAATTCAACAGCAAACACTATAGTACAACACAATACTATTCAATATAAATAAAATATATAAATACATTACAAAAGTAGCAGATTTGTAAAAACAATGAGAGAATATCAAATATCTGAATATAATAGAATATATACGTGTTCTATACGTATATATTCGTATACTATATAAATAAATAGTAAATTTACGTATTTACGAATTTACGTATAAATTCGTATACTATATAAATAAATAGTAAATATATACGTATACTATAGAATATCTGGCAGTGCCAGAGATGAGGTTGTATGATTACTCATGATTGCAGGTTTGCTTTATTTAGTATTTGTATAAAGGTTGGGAAAGTAGTGCCATCTCTTAACTCGATGGGAAGAGTAGTGGGTGGCTCTGACTGCCCACACTTGCTACGTCTGTATTCTACATCACAGACCCCTCTGGCATTTGCCCTTGTTACCCGGCTGCTACTAAACCTTCGGCATTATGAACTGACTCTGTTTGGGAGGCGCAAGCCCATGTAGACGAGGCATCGAAATGTAATAGATGATGTCTCCGCTGGTCGCATGATGTCAGGATTTCAGGAAGTTAGCCTACTTTGCCCGGCCAAGAAATAGTCATGCATACATAAGCAAACTGTAAAATATTAAAGTAATGTTTTTACACTTCAGTGTGTAGACAAAAGACACAATATGTATTAGTAAACTTTTAAGATGCTGGTAGGTAGATTGTTTTTACCTTTGGACAGAGCCAGGCTAGCGGCTTCCCTCTGCTTCCAGTCTTTCTGCTAAGTTCATTTCATTCGTTGTGTTTCACAATGTAATGAAACCTCTTGAAGCTGGACAGTAAATCTAGTGAATGTAGTGACTTGGCCATTATTTTATCCTGTTAGAGGGGGTGAAACCATCTCCTACTAATATCTCTGGTCTTATTCAGCTTAACTGTGCACATTTGAGTATGAGACGCCACCTGCACTTAACAGTCGATCAAATAAAGACAAGCTGTCCCACTGACAATTGTCTCATCCTTTTAAGAAAATGCACCAACTTGCGTTGCCTCCTCGGTACATTTTGCCAAACATTTATCGTTCCATGGTGCGTTTACGTGAAGTACATCGTGAAAATATCGGAGCACACTGAGGGCTGAGTTGAAAGAATAAAAACATAAAAAGGCTGAAAAGTGCCGGGACGTGAGCCTGCAGAAGATTCTAGAGTCGGAGTTTAATTTATAATCTATCTGACAGCAGCAAGCTCCATTCCTCCCTGGAGTGACATGCCTCATCCTGCTCACAGCACACTCACACACACACACACACACACACACACAAAAACACACACAAATGCACATCATCGCTCTCATCAATCATTTGCCTCCAAACTGTCTGTCCGGCAGAGGGATGTACTGTACATTGATTGAGTGTAGGCAGATTTTTTTTTGGGACACGCTGCGATTTCATTCCCTTTTTTTTTTTCTCTATTCAACGAGAAAGGCACACACATAAACGTATGTGTGTGCAAATGCAAGCACAAGCACACCTTTGTACTCTTGGTCTCGCAGGTGTTGGTGAATAAAGAATCGCAGACTCCTTGGTCCTTGGCCACAGTGATGCCGGTGGTGCACATGTTATCCTCAAGCACTGTTACACAGCAATGCTCCTGCACTATCCTGTCAGCAAGAAAAAAACACAAAACACAGGTGGTGCATTTATAATCTCCTCGGTGCAATGCAACTCTGCCTTAAAGCGTAGCTCATTAAAATCAGCCTGAGGCAAGCCTGATGGGGATCTCAGAGTTGTCAAACTAAAGATGTGTGGATGAGTGGGTTGAGGAAGTCCTGTGTGGATTCCAAGGAGGACACAACGCTGACATCACTGGACTTAAACTGGGTTGAACCATGGAGTTAAACCAACATTTCAGTCCCAAAAGGAACAGTTGTCCACCTCCGCATGTCCGTACTCAGGGTGGGGTCGTGGTCTTTGACAGAATCAATCTTATTATAATACCACTCAAACAAACCAGCCCCTTTACGTAAGCATGCTGTGTCCTGTGAGAATGGAGAAAAGTTTCCCACTAATTGGGTGACTAACAGTTGCCAGTACGACCAGAATCAGACATCTATTTCCCTATAAAATCAGTTTACAAATTTAAAACAGAAAGTGAGAAACACGTTGTTACTGGAAGTACTCCAGCCAACCTTGACCTCTGAGCTCTGAGGGTCACAAAATATATATATATTAATAATAATAATATCTCTACAGGGATCAATAAAATGCTGTATATTACTACGATGGGTGCTTGGATTTCAAAAGCAATATCTGGAACAAGCACAGCCTCTCACATGACACCACTATTATCAAAATATCAGTGACTTCATGTTTCTGTTTGATCAGATTTCATTGTGTTGTCTAACATTTGCTGTTTGTGCCGTCCAATCAGTTACGAGTGGGTGTTTCTGTCTGCTCTGGATTTTACGAGACAGAAAGCATAAAACGCCACCCCCTCACCTCTCCTCTCTCATTTCCGACCAGCCTCTTTATCAACTCTTACCAGAAACCACTTTCCAAATAAACTCCTGTAGATCTCAAATTCACTTCAAGGCGCACACCTCTTCTGCAGAACCTTTTAAGGACACAGTCGTCCTCCTGCTTTTCTTTTCTCTTCTCTTCTCCCCACTCCTTTTCTGTCTTACTTGTTTTTTTTCCTTTGGTGTCTGAAGTAATCGTTCAGATTTCCTGTTATTGCCTCTCTCTATCCTCCCTCTATGTCGCGTTTCACCAAGCTATTTCCTGGGTATTGAAACAGACCCTTTTCTGACCCCCCTTCACCCCTTTTCTACCCTGCTCCCCCACAAACCTCTGCCCTTTTCCTCTTTTCCCCTATAATTTAGACAAATTCGGGATCATTCGGGGTGGCTACGGTGAATGTGTTTGCCATCAGCAGCAGATCTCCGTGGCTTATGGGACCCTGAACCTGTGGCAGCACACCCTCTAGGGTTACCAGCAGCCCTGTTATTATCCCATCACTATTAGTGTTTCCTGCGCTCACGTGAAGTGAATAATGTGCCTGGAGATTTACGGGAGTAAGGTAAAGCGATCTCTTATTAAAGGCCTACAGGCATGGTACAGACCAAATCCCCCTGGGCCAATACTGCAGGAGCTTCTGTGGCGCGAATAGAAAATGTAAGTTTGTGACACAGTGTGCAGCAGTTAATGATTTGTAATTCAGAATGAGCCTCAGGCAAGTCACCTTACCAACTAACTCCTGGTGTATAAATTTGCTATCTTTGACAGCAAAGTAGCAGAGAGCGCCTGCTCACCTGCACGGGATTGACTCAGAGATGAGCGGGAGGGACGCACAGTCTTCGTTGTCATTGCCACGCCTCTGGCCATCTTTACAGCAGTCCTCTATGGAGATCTGCCCGACTCCTACAAAACGTTCAAAACAGCACAAGGTGTGTTTGTGTGAACAGGTGGTTCACTGTCAGAGGGTCGTTTTCATATCTGGCATTGTCTGGTTTGTCGCAGTGAGGGGACCCCCCGCCGACATAATCCCAGCAGGAGATACGACTCCAGATGGAGCGCTGCTGCATCTGCACTTATCACACCTGCCTGCAAACTCACAAGGTGGTTAACACACACGCTTTAAGACTTGTTTCGTGCCCTTCACGATGCTCACGACGAAGCAAAATATATCAAATGGCATAGTGATAAGCTTCGTTTTATGACACTAAAGGTGTAATGCGTAAGATATGGCCCAGAATTTCAATTAAGATTATCAAAAGAAGACAAAGAGGTTACAGTGGGTTAGACACCGTCTAAAGGTTGGGTGGTGCCACAGACTAAATTCACTCAATCAACTTACTGTGGCGTTATTGTGGGAGAATAGACGCAGCTCCGGTAGACGGACAGACCTTCAGTTAGCAGGTAGTTCAAATGCAGCCAGTGCAAACCTCAGCAATGGGGGTCTGATCCCGGACCGCCCATATCTTACACATTGCCCCTTTAAGCATTATTTCTTTGACAAACACATTTTCTTTTGGCAAAAATAAAACGTGCTGAATAACTGAAGTTATAATGATCAAATTTGGAGATCTAACCCAAACAAAAAAGGATATTACCATTGTCCTATATGGCAAGTTGCCTCGCGTTCTCCAAAAGATGGAAAAACAAAATTTAAAAATCTGTTTGCCAATTTAAATTGCCTGCAGGTCTTTTTTTTGCCAAAGACAATGAATGATGGATATGTTGTTGCAGACTCAAGAAAGGCTTTTTTATTTTTGCTGGAGCAAAACCAACTCTGTGGTGATCTGGCTGTTTATTCATGTGGATTAGAGAGTGTGGAACGCCTCAACTCTGTAAACAACCAAACGTCCCAATGACATCAAGTACATTCATTCGCCTGTTGTTTGTGTGTGATATGCCAAACGTGAAATAGCTTTGGCAGATCGCTTCTTGGACTTTTTTTTTTTGCCTTCGGCTCAAACCAGGATAAGTGTGCCAAATTGTTATTAACAATAAGTGCCCCGAGATGAAAAAGAAAAGAAAAGAGACAACAAACTCACCGTGAAATTGATTTGTCGACCCATTATAATAGAATATGAGGTTCTGCTGGTTAGTGACTGAATGCTCTGAATTATTGGAAATAGTGATTGTGAAATGCACTGAGGAAATCCATCTGTTTAAGACACAGCGTCTGACGTTAACAGTCTGGCAAGAGTCAACAAATTCAGATAATAAGTTAGATTACGTTGGGAGGACAAGTGTCTGGAATTGTGGCCCTCAGTTTTATAGATTTGCTGCTTTCTCCCAGAGGAGCAGGAGGAATTTTATTATAAGCAGTAAATCAAAGACGAAGCACAAGCAGGAATAGTCATCATAAAAAAACGTTTTCTGCATTGATCAACATTGTAACGACACAATGTAAGTGTTGCAATAAAACCCTCAATTTCTCTCAATAGTTTGCAGGCTCCTATAAACCCAGTTCTGCAGACTAGAACAATAGGGTCAAGATATAACAATGACTAAGAGTTAATTCAAAGCAACATGTGTGTTTGTGGGGGGGGGGGGGGTTTCTGAAGAAGAAAGCAAGTCATTTCTCCAGCGTAGGCTACAGGAAAACAAAGCACACATAAAACGTTGTGGCCTTTGCAGCTACACAAAGGACGATTAAGCTGGCAGAAAGGAGTGAATATGGACATAGGATTTATTACTAGGCAGCCACATTAGCTGACTCACTACTGACTTCTGGAAGTCTGGCACATCCCAGAATCCTCTGGCCAATAACCCTTGTAGCAGCTGGATGAAATAAGATGGCATTTTAAAAGCTTTTCTCATGGGCCTACCAAGTGGGCCCTCTCAAAGTCTCTCTCTCTCTCTCTCTCTCTCTCTCTCTCTCTCTCTCTCTCTCTCTCCCTCTCTCTCTATCTGTCTCTGAATGCTAAAGATCTCTGTCTGTTGGCAAAGTAACACCAGTATGTCCCAATGACACTGAAATAAAACATGTATCTTACAAAAGTATAACAATATGGATAGAAATGAGTGCCATTATTGTTCCATACAAAGGTGTTAATGACCAAATACTCCTTTACTGAAGTATGTATGACAGTTGGTCTCACTGCTCTGTCCTATAGTTTTTCTCCCCACAGTAGCCCTCTGCTGATAACTAACTCTAACCCACAAGGCATCGCAGAGTCATTCCAAATGCCACCACTGTCTGCTGCTCTCAAACCTAAATTGAAAGACCAGAAGTGCCTTAAAAACTGTGTGGTGCTGTTTTATCAAAAGAGGCAAACCAGGCACTCCGGCCTAGACGCAGTCTGCCGCGGTTCCCTGTCTCTGTGATGCATTGTCTGCCTGGAGAGGGCTGATTTCCATCTTGGATGGCGGTGCTGGTTGTGAGGGCCATTCTGGCAGAGCGGCACATGGCTTGAGTGCGTCTAGACGCCTCATGTAAACAAGGCTTAATGAGCCCACTGAGGCTCCGCCCCGGCAGAGCAGTTGGCTTGAGCCAGACATCACAACGGCAGTGAGCATCTCTTTCGCAGGCTGCAATCGAGGCTTTTAGTCACAGGTTTCTTATCTTTCTGTGTCAATGTTACATTATTTTAAGAGTTTTGGTTATATAACCGGTCGATGATGATAGCGGAATGGATTCACTCTAAATTGACCCGCGACGCAACCCCCTACAAAGAAGGCAGCTCTTGAGAAAAGTGGCCCTGCTGACTGTGAAAGTTGCCCCATGTGTGACATGGGAACCTTGAGCTTTTGGATAAGTATAAATCACACTCCTCTGTCCAGACCACCCTGTCCTGGTGAGACACTTGGTCGTTCTGACATAGCATCGCAGCATACCAGGGCACTTGGCCTTTGACTTGCAGGGCAGAAAGTGCAGAAACCAGGGCAGTGAGAACTCTTGCTTTCAAGTTATGTGTAACTGCATTTTTAAGTCATGCGACATCATCTTTTATCACTTTATAAATAATCTGTAGCATTAATAATATGCAATGAAAGAGTTAAGGACACAGTTTACTTTTTAATATGACATTTTCAAATCATATTATTGTGTAGCATCTGGATTTGTGTCCTACACAATGCGAAGAATAAGAGGTGACTTTATACAACACTCAATGGCATTAACTACATTGTGAGTTAGGAGGGAAAACAATGGAAACAACAAATAAAAACTTTCCACAGAAATAATGATGATGTTTTGTTACATTTTATAAACATTCGAGCCCTACTTCATTTCAATACACCCCTGCAGCACTTTGAAGCACCCAGCTTTGTGAGCCATGCTTTCATCACATGCCCCAACTAGCCCGTGCCAAATTCATCACCTCCCCGCGTCTCACGCTTTTGTCTATTATCACTTCCATTCTTACTGTAAATACCATCACACGTGCGCGTGAAAAAGTTACCTTACAACACAATACCCGCCCACATCTGCATACACTCTTTGGCTCGGTTTGGATGACCTTATCATTACAAAGTGGTCACGTAGCAGTGATCTTTTCCTCCAGAAAGGTAACTTACCTTGGCCGAGGAGAACCCCGAGCACAGAGCACAGCAGCACTGCACACGGACCCATTGAATGACAAGCGATTCGACTGGTGGGAGAGGAGAGAGAGAGAAAAAAACGAGTCCGAGAGCTTTGACGCTTGGTTATTCTGCCGGATGCGTAAATAAACAGCAGTGCTCCTTTTGAAGAAGGAAGACTTTCTCCGCGGTGAAGGAGTGGATGTGATGGAGCTGAGTGAGTCGCAGTTGCAGCGTGACTGGAGGAATGAGCGTTCAATTATGACACTGCGAGGGGCGGGCAGACTGCGACTTATTGCTAATCAAATACTTTGTTTTTTTTAGTTTTTTCTTCCTGTACAAACTCCAACATAAAGCCATCAACCGTGAGCTCATTTCATTACAATTAAAAGTATGATTTGACTGTTGGGACTCACAGATTGGTAATAAAACTCAGAAGTGAGTTTATACTGTAATTTATAACTATATCCTGACAGGAAAAGGCATTTCCTTCTAAAATGGTTTATATAACTGACACATTTATGCACATTGGAAAGTATAAGACCTGAAGTAGTACCTAGGGAGATGTGGGCTGGGGTGAAACTTTTTTATTGCCTTCAGGAGGGATTGCAAGTGACTTCAGGCTACTGTGCTGTAAGGCATGCACGCACACATGGAAATTGTCTCCCCATCAACAGCAAAGTAGACTTTTTCTGTCTGTGACTAATGACTGTACTGATTACTCAACATCTGGAGCCGGTTTTGGGATATTTCGAAAATGTCTTGTGGCTGTGTCCAGACTATAAGCCTTGAAACCTTTTGGATATCTCAGTTAGAGGAAATAGGGGGAATGAAAAAAATAAATATTGTTACTACCATTGCTGCACCTTAAGGAAGATGATAGATCAAATCGGAAACTGGCTCTGTGCCGTTGCATATCCTTTGATACTGTCTCTGCAAAGTAGTATTATTAAAGGTACCTGTAGGCCTATAGTTCTGAGCCTATTTTCCCTGCAGTTACTAAAGTTCACAGCTGCACCAAAGAAAATGAGGCAGTTTCCCCTCAAATTTAATGAATTAAAGCTTTTGTAACTGCGCCACAGATGTGGGCACACCATCAGCCAAAGTGATCATGAACTGTGAGGAGCTGGGTATAAACAAGCCACACACACACACACACACACACACAAGTCTACCAGAATTGGCAAGGAGCAGAGAAATAATTGCTAGACTGCATTATAAACATTTTTGTACCAACTAAAGCCCTCTGCGAATTCAATCAGTCTACTGACTCTGGGCATGGTGACAGAGAGAGGTTAAATGATCTTCTAATCAGAGCCACATGTCTCCACCACCAGTGTAGCCAGTTTAGAAACATCACCAAAAACTTGATAGCAGGACACCACATGCATAGCCCACAAGTACTGTATATGGCAGATACATACAGTATATTGGAAAGTGCACTGTTTAAGTGTACAAGTCGTGTCTCAGTCTCTGTGCTCTTCAGTCCAACACGGTCTACATTTCCTGTTGGTAATTGTACTCTGTTAACAATCTACATTTCAATAGACCACAGCAGTGTTTTGAGTGCTTTGGATGCATAATAAACATTCATGAATGTCATTTGTTCTGGCAGCGTGTCAACACTGATTTCACTATCAAGTATTGCGGAGCTGGTTTAGGTTATTGAAGTGGAGATTTAAGCTCAACTTTTATGTTATTTATCTTCCTTATTTAGAAAATACAATGGCCCTTTTGCAATATTGGAATCCAGGGTTCATTTTTCCCCAATAAAACCTTCATGAAAAACATCCCACCATGGTGTGAAAGTGAGCTTGCAGAGAACTTGCTTGAGGAGGTAATCCATCACAGTGAACAACAGCTTTTATATTTTTGTCTTTAATGTTACAGTTGCACAGTTAAGCAAAACGTATATGTTTTTTAATCAATCACAGTCCCACAACAGGACATCGATTCAACCACAAAAAGCAGACATGGTGTGTACTGTAATGGATTAGCAGGCTTTCTGCAAATCCATGTTAGGATCTTAGCAAAATGAATGAAGGTAGGAAAAACACTTCACAAATCAAACACTGCAGCAGAAAAGTGATGATAAGAAATTAAGTTAAATATGCAAAAACATTGTATGGTCCTGGAAATGTATTTAAACTGAGGACCTCTCGGTTTAAAGTAGACTGTTGCTACAGCAGCACAGATATAGTTCCTGCAGATGTTTATCAGTCAAGGCTGTGGCAACCCCCCCTCTGTGATGCTACAGTTACTACAACAACACAGAGCACTCCTTTACTGCTGTCCTTAATCTTATCTTTGCCTTAGTGCAATGTAGACAATTGATAATAGGCCTTTAGAGGCCATATAACAAATGAAGAATGCCCAAAATGAGAGCCAGACCAGTGCCGGGCTAAAGCACAGTCAACATCTGAGGGCAACTTCTCACGCCTGCTAGACTTCCAGAAACTACCAGCCCTCCTCTCCACCTCCATTCTACATTTGGGCTTTAACAAGAAACAGCAGCGTGAGCTGACCTCCGAGCTCATAGGTGGAGGAAATTGGAGTGGCCGAGGTCGCATTCAAACAGAGCTAATCCTGTTGTGGGCGGGTGGAGTACAGTTCCTTTGAAGCTGAACAAAGGGTGTCCTGCCACGTCTGTGTCACTCAGCAGAGGGCCACAAACACAGCCGGGCAGTCAGAGGCCTGCCCTGTGGGGCCCCAGAGGACCTGTTCACTGTTAGTCAACACGACTGTGGACGCTTCTTAAAGGAGAAAGGGGCTTTGCTGAACATCGAAGTTGTAACGAGGGAAATAATGCATTTCTCCTTTTCAAGCAGGACATTAATAGACTGCATTAACATGCGTTTATAGGGTGAAGGGGGTTTATGGCATTCGTCTTTACACAGAATCATTACTCAGACGTAGGCGATCATGTTTTATTGTACCCTGTAAACACCTGCAAGTTGACTTGTATGCAAGTAGGTTTATGGCTAAATGTTCTGGCTCTGGGAGGTTACAGGAAAACTGTTCACAACAGTGAGTGTGTGGAAGAGATATTACTGAACTAAAAACGAGCTCAGAACAAGTAGAGACAGTCTCACGTAACATTCAAACTGGTCGTAGCTCTTAACAATAAAATATAATAACAAACATAAATAAATAATTATTAAATAAATAAATTGTAGATAGTCAAATAAAATCAAACATAACATTAACATGTAACCCGACCAAGCAGAAATACTGTTTAATGATGTGTGACAATGTAACATCTTGAACTGTCTTGGGTTTTATCAAACAGCTTCGATTCCTTTGATGTCTTCACTTTACTGGCCTCCAGGGGACCGTAACCGTATCTTATTCCACAGAACACAGACCACAAACATCAAAGCTGCAGATTCACATCCTTCCCGATCACTTTCATACGTATACACGGAGAGCTAAACAGGAAAAACACACCGGACCTGACCACACCACCGATTAGCCATGTGTCAATGAAGCTGTCATTTGGGGGAGAGCAAATTAATAACTCAAATCGATTATAGTAATCATAAAAGCCGGTCAGCTTTACCCTGTGAACTGAACTAAATTCTTGCATGACACTCAGTCTTAATCTCCAAGCTTTAATCCAAGATGTCTTCAGATTCAGAGTAAATGCAGCAGTTGTAATGCATGCTTAGTCCAGAAAAACTAAATAATGTGTCGCCCTGTATCATAGTTGTTTGCTTGCAATTTAATTGAATCAGTAAACATACAACACATTTTTTGGTGACCTGGTGATTGTGTACAATACATTTTTGTGTATAATACATTTTCGCCACATATTAGCTGGTGCTGGCAGTGTCAAATATCCAAACGATTAAGAAGACTTGTGCTTTCACACTACTCCCTCCTCTCCACCGGGACGGCTCGGTGCATCCTGGGAGTCTGAACATGTGCGCTGGCGCTTTGAATGCTGGAATATGTTGTCAAGAGACAAGAGTTGAGAGTCAAAGGGGGCAGTAGGAATCATCTCCAGTTTGATTTCTGGAGAGGTCAGGTCAGGGAACATGATCCCCAGCTGCTCTTCAAACAGCTCTTTAAGCGTCCCGCCTGCCGTGGTGACCTCCGTGTCAACCTGTAAGCAGAGATGAGGGAAACAATATTTTATTACCAAGTGTCAAGAGCTGCATACTGAAAAAAAATTGCTTTTTGCAAATCTTTGTACAGTACCTCTCTGAGCGCTGCACAGTTCCCAAAGACGAGCCTGACGTCTGATACAAACTCTGCAGGGCTTTGGTAGCACACACTCTGCTTCGCTTCCAGTCGTTTTTTCACAGCGGAAAGATTGATTGGTCCTTTTATAGCCAGCCTGTGATTAGCACATACCTACAGTATTTAGAAAGGGAGAGATAATAAAACGATCAAATTCTACGGGAAGGTGAAGTAAAACCGTGATATATTTTGTTACGTGAGGGTTTTTAATAAGCAGATATATTTCAAGCCAAAATGCACGCTGTAGGTAAGTACTGCACACAAATATAGTGTTGTAATGTACGCACTTATTGTCGATTATAGTCCATCATTGTTAATGTTCATCCATGCCCATCCACTGTGCAAATACAAACACTACAAGCTCTGACAGCAAGACAAATCCCTCTATATTTATAATACCTGATTAAAGTTGCATAATGTCTCTGTATTTACTGATAAATACTGCATATTACACATCATTAAAATAACAGTTACAGAAACTCCATGTGACATTAATCCTGTGAACTTTTCGCCCTGCTGTCAGCCAAGCTTCCAGACTCACCGAGGGGGATACAGACTGCGGGAAGGCTGAACTCAGCTCGCTGCAAAACAAGTGCAGCAACAGCTTCTCACACTTCTGCAGCGGTAGAAAAAGACAAAGGACTTAATACAAGTCAAGTGACAAACAAATGCTCCAATCTCTGGTCTGTCGCATCTGCTTACTTAATAATTTTGAACCTGAGACAATTGGCAACTCATTAAATGTTATTGTTGTAGTACATAATATAGATGCAGGACAATAGTGAACACAATATGGTGGCTTGGCAAACATTTATTTAGGTTGATTTATTAAAGCTGTGGTTAGTTTTATTTCAGTGGCTTCCAATGGTTCCAACAGTAAAACCACGTATTTCGTGTATATCCAAATGCTACGTGTCGCCTAAAATACTTTGTGTTCTCTGGAGCGATCGCTTCCTGGTCCTGGTCACGACAACTGGAGGTCTTGTGCCTGGTTTTCATATTCACGAAAGATGTGAGTTACTTAGTCAGGCTAGCCAATGAGTGAGCTAGGATTCTGAGTGTCTGTCCAATGAAGGAGCAGCAGGAGGGCGCTGTAACATGTGCACACTATCATATGCACCTAGCAAAGTGAGGATAGAGACACAATCTGAGCATTTAGCCATATTTTTGGAAATATGACTGTTTCCTGCAGATATCCAAAAGATTCTCCTTATAATTACTATAATTCTATCATCTTTATTGTAACCGAAATTACTGTCATCATTGTAAACAGAAAAAAAAGAGAACTGACTCGTTTGTCCACAGGGGGAAATCCTCCTTCAGAATCTGGCTCCTTCTTTACTGTTTTGGCTTCAGCTTTGCTTTCGCAGTCATACTCCATCTCAGGCACTAACAGGTCACGGCAGAGAGAGCAAAACCATCCGCCACTGAAAAGACACAGTGCAGAGACTCAATACAAAAGCCAGTAAACAGCAACACAGAAGTGCATAAAGCATGCTCACACCAAGATGTGACAACAACTTGTCTTGCCTCATTCTTAAGAGCTGAAGGGGTTTTTATTCCACAGGGGACCATAATAATAAGCATAAACAGGAAAAATCTAAAAGAAACATGAGTTATGGGGTTTTCATCTGAGAGCATAAATTAATTAATTCGCCCTGTCAGCGCTTGCCTGGGAGATTTGCGGAGAGTTGGAACATGGCACGAAAGGTGAAAAGCCTTGGGACACTTCTCGCAGCACAGCAGCTCCCCCGCAGTCTGACACGCAGCACACAGGCCTTCATTAGGGTCGTCTAGCGGAGCGCGGTGCTGGTCTACCTGCTGCCCCCCCCACAGTGAGCAGATGGGATCCGGAGCTTTAGTCCCACTCTGGTCCCGTGGGCTGCTCGGAGGCTGTGAATGGCTGTGGGGTTTGTCATCCGTGCTTTGAAGAGGAGTCTGGACTTTGTTCCCCTCACCCTGGACACTGATTTGGGGTCGGTCACCCGTGCTGTCGGGGAGGCTGGCTCTTTGGTTGGCTTGTACCTGGAATCCACAAACAGGGAGGAAAAAACAGCTCTGTATGAGGTGTATGGTGAGTACAGTGCTAAGGTAACCAATTTCTAGTTACGCAGAAATGATGGCCTAGTTGTAATAAATCACGATTTCCCTTTAAATTCATACTCTGTGTTAGCCCAGTCTTGCTACAGTAGCCCGCTTTGGATAAATGTCTGATATAGAGTACATATGGAATAGTCATTGGACTGTAATAAAGATCTATTGTCTCCTTACGTAGCTACTGTCGTCATCTGGCTCATCTTTGATGACAATGATGGGCCCTGGTGACGCTCTCCGTCTTTTCTTGACGGCCGAGCCCACTGCTCCACTGGCCGGCTGTGTTTCTGGAGGTTTCCAGGTAACAGTCCTTGGGAGCAGAGCATGAACCAATTAGAGTGAAATCGAAATTCACCAGACAGACCGGTGGCCCAAAAGGAATTAGGGGGCATGCAGCTGTCTCCTTACCCCGGTTTCTCCTCCTGGGATACAGCAGCGTACCCTAGAGAATTCTGCTGTCCTCGCACTTGAGAGAAATAAAAATCTGTTTTCCTTTATCGAGAATACAGCAATGCATACGGTTCGACACTGACGGTGCAGACATACCATTTCTGTGTAGCAGAGCAGGTGGCAGGCTGTGGGGATAGTTTGGTTTCAGCACATACACCGGACCGCCTGGATCATTCCTCCCGTTCAGATATGTGGGCTCAATCTAAACACAGCATTGCATGTTGTTTACTACAATGTATATCAACATAGTTTACATTAGTGGATGGAGTCACTTGCCGTCTGTCGTGATTGAGGCGAACTGACGCCACCATTGATGGGCAGTGGTGCTACATGGGTGTACAGAGGTGGAGAGGAAAACACGTCCACAGCTTTGGGTTGGTAGCTGGAGCTGCTGCCCATCCCCCTCAGAGGCTACGAGACGGAGAAAGAAGGAAGATGGATAGAAATGCTGCAATCATTCTCATCCTGCATTCCTGTCAGCGTCTGTAAACATGTGATGATGGAGGGGAGCATGAAACAGTGCGCTTTCATTACCCTGTCGTTGGTCGACGCCCCATGGCAACAAAGAAACACAGAAGACGAAACCCATAAACAAAACACCCAGAAGCTCCAGGCTGATCTGCCTGAGATGTTATTTTTTTTTGGTCTATTTTAACTATAAACCTGCAGGTTCAGTTAATGTTTCTCTACAAGATTCCTGCATGTATGACATTTGGTTTAGTTCAGATACACATAAAGGGCCATACCAACATTTGGAATGTTTTAACGCATAACGCTACACTACAATAACACATCACTTCAAATCACATATACTTAATGTAAAGGCCCTGAACACCTATTTGTTTTCAATTACTATGAGTGATGGGGTCCTGAATTAACCCCAATTATTTTTGCTGAAGTCAGAACAGCTTTTGTGACATTACATGTTTATACAATCTGATCAATCCGCACACACACTGAGTTATTGTGTGTTAAGCTTTGTTTAATGAGTCATGTATTTTGAGATTTGACACCAACAGTTGAGAGGCTTTAATACTAACCACTTCACTGTTTTTGCAAACCTTCCAGTAAGCCATCAGTTTTAATTTCTTGCGCAACAATCGACTTGCCTCATCATGCCTCATCACGCTAGGAGGTAATTATCTCGAATGGATCTGCACTCACAGTTTCAATTTAACAAAAATAAAAGCAGACATACTGTATACTGAAAGTTATGGACTTTTCAATTATCCTTCAATCTCTTTAAGTTGATTATACTTTAGTGACGTGTAGAGAAAAAACACTCTTTAGACCTACTGGAGCCTGACCACAACCTGCTTTAAAAAATAAGTCATGAAGTGGAGCTGATTTCTAGTAAAACATGCAAAAACACATATTTCTTTCCTACGGAGATCATTTCATTATGCAGCTGTAACAGCTTGTGCACGTCAGTACGACACAACTTAAGGGTGCACTTCACACACCAAGTATTGTCCTGTGATTGAGCCTATAGCTCAGCGCTGGAACCAAAACACCCTGCGGACTAGACTAAACAACTTGGATGACGAGATATTATGAACCCTCTCTAATGGAATCTTGGGTCCGCTCTCTGTCACATGCTGGCCGCTGTTGCACTGCGGATTGAGCTGTTTTATTTTATGATTTTGAGTCATAAACTCGTCCAAGATTAAAATCCATCTTGACAAGGAAAGACACAAATTGCCCGGGATGTGAAGGCTGTCAGCTCTATTTAGGACAATGTCGTCCACTGTCGGTGCTCGTTAAGAGGGCTTGTCTGTCAAACGGACACACTCACACGCAGCAACGTGCGCTAACCTGTGGCGTAAACCCAGGGCACGGTAGTCCGCTAGTTGGGCCGACGTGGTTGGGAGGAGGTGCCATGAACCTGCGACCTGGCTGGGGAAGCACGCTCTGGGAGGGAGAGCCTCCTCCTTGCAGGGCCCCCGGGACGGTTCGCTGCAGTCGGACACTCTGGTACCACGTCCAGGGCGGAGGAGGTGGTTGGGGCTGCCAGTTGGCCTGCGGGTTCAGCTTGTCCACCTGCATCTGGAGCTGAGCCAGAGTGTTATTGGGCGCTCCCAGGGCAAAGCTGTGGGGTGAGCCTGAGGGGCCGTGGCCGGGGTGGGAGAGCTGATGTGGGATGCCCTGAAAACCACTCAGCTGATGGCCCGGTACACTCTCTACCACTAAAGAGCCTGAGGGGAGTATACACACAGAGACAGGATTAGCATAACAAGTAGGGACGAAAAAATACACAATACAGACAGAACTTCTGCAGAGAACTGTGGGATAGAGAAAGTTTGGGCAGCAATGTGGTAGAAAGTTTGCAGAACTTGTTGGAGGTTATTAAGGTGGAAAAACATGTCAAGGAGGTTTGTAACTAATAACTTGTATCTGTGGAAAGTGTTTTAGATTCATTTTTACAATGAAATTCAGAGCCCAATGTGATGTTTTCCAATGGCTTGTTTTGACATTCCAAAACCCAACAATATTAACTTTAGAATGACATAAAACAAATAAAAACAATTCCTCACAATGAAGAGGCTGGACCCAGAGAGTGGTGTGATTTACGCTTGATAAAACCAAAATCTGACTTAAACAATGAATTGCCAGTCAAAATGTTTGCTGTTACTTTTCTGTTGGCTGACTCTTGGAACAAAATATCTCAGTAAGCTCTGAACCCTGTGAATCTTTAAGCACACTCTCCCTGATTCAGCATCCTTCATCCAAACCACTAAAGGGAACCAACAAATCTCTGGTAAGTGCTGTGATTTGCATGAAGAGATGACAAGCCCCCCCCCATACCCTGTATGCAAGCGACAACAAAGAAGGGATTTTTGGAAAGCAGTGAAATATAAAAGGGGGCTGGTTTGCGGTGGAAAAACTGTTCACTGTTCCATTTTGATATTGTCCAGAGAGTATAACAATTGAAACGTTGAGTTTTGAAGTGAAACAGGAGACCTTCGAGGGACAGATAATCATGACATAGGGCATGTGACTCTAGCTTTATGCAGTTTCTGCAACGTTTGCCACATTAACATTGTCTGCCACTACCTTTGTTGTCATGCTTGCAACTCCATCAAATTGAACATTTGTGAATTCGTGGATTGCAGTCTGGCCTTTATCTTGTGGCAACATTCTGAAAATGAGGCAGTAATAAACTACAGAAACATTTTGGTAAGAATTAAAGACAAATCAGAAAAAAAAAAGAGAAATAAAAACAGTGTGGAGACTGAAATAATCTCAGGGTTCCTGATTAGTTTCTATGACAGAGACATTCGTTAATGTCTTACCCAGATCCACATTGGAGGCCCAGTAAGAGGATCGACTCTGGAAGCGCACACTGCTCTGTGGTATAAACGAGGTACTACACTTTGCCCGCAGGAGGTTTCCAATCTGAAACAGGATCTGCAACAGAAGGGATGTGATTAATAATTTTCAGAGGAGGACACTTGTGTGTTACGAAAGGCATATGTTCCCACTTCATCGCGGCACAAGATAGACCAAGCCTCCAAACCGGCCTTCAGAGCTGAGCGGAGTCTTTATGGTGGGACGAGCCTCACCAAACGTTTACAGTACAAGAGGGCCGTCCCTCCATTCCTGGCGGTGGCCCATTTGGTGAAGGTGATGACGTGGTCCAGGTGTCTGGATAGATAGCCGATGTCCTCCTGTTGTTTTCGCAGGACACTCTCGTGATCCTTTGTTACGGCCTGAAAAACATGAATTAGTGAGCATCTGCGCTGTTCAAACAGCTTGAGGGTAAGCGCCACGGGGGTGGGGGGGTGGTGGTGGGTGGGGCAGTCAACTGAGCTTGCACGCAGGTAATGTTCTTCTGGAAACCACACAGCAAACTAGAGATCAGCAGCAGGCCGCTGACAAACAACACCGTTGTGTTATATTTGTTATGAATTCAAAAGCCTTTGTCGTACCTCAAGTTGATGAACTAGCATCTTGCCCTTCTTGTTGATCTCCAGAATCAAACTGCAGATGGATTTCTGTATTTCATTATGAACCGACGTGCGGCTCTGATCAACCTGAAGAAGTCTGAAAAGCAGACATTGAAACTATCAGTAAGTATTCAAATTTGACATCACATGTCCAAAATCAACCGGTACAAAATTCAAAACACATTTTAGAGCCTTCTGATTATTACTTAGCATGCATGCTTTTAGGGTCACTTTGGTATTTTTCCACCTGGAAGCTATTTTCCCATTTTGTTCTGTCTAACTAACTAATAGGGACAACCGTTTCTGAAATTGTTCCAGTATTGAGCGAGCGCGCTGCACACAATAACAAACAGACTGGATCAGGCGAAAGGTCAAGAAAAAAGGTTTTATTTCTCCGCAGGGTCTTTCCCGTAATGTTTTCTTTCAGACACTTATAATAACCATCTAAACCTGGCAGTGGCAAAAAAAACATGCACTTCCAGTTGCATTGACGCTGTGCATCTGCCCTCGCAGCTCGGTTAGCGGCTGCGGGTCACAGCGCTTTCCCTCAAAACTACACCACTTCTAGAAAATTGATGCCCCCATGAGTCACATAGACACATAAACATGGGAAATAAGAGTCCAGGCTGAAGAATAACAACCATCATGAGAGCTAAACGTCAAGTGGAAAATGGCTTCTTTCTAAACAGTTCAAAAAAACGTTGAGAAGCGTTTGCATAATACTTTGCATACTGGGCATGTGTAGTCTTGTGGTATGTGGAAGTACGTACCCTTTGTTTATGGAGTTTGACACCTCTTCAATCTGTTTCTTTTTCTCCTGCAGCTGATGGGTCATGCTCTCCATGTGCTGCTTGTGGCTTTTATAAGCATCTTCAAGGAACTGGTAACTGCTCCAAAGAGAACACTGAGTCAGCGGATGCAATATATATATATGACATCGATGATGGGATGTGCAGCAGCACTCCTAAAGCTAATGGGTTCAGGGACACTCCTGCAGAGTGCACAATACAAATATTTGTTTTAAATATGTGTCAAACCAAACTGAAATGCATCCACAGGTGTATGAACCGCCATATGATATAAATATACGAAGTAATATTGAAGCTTGTGACTGTACTTGTGGTCCTTGTGCTTTACTAGTTGGCAGTCGCGGCAGGTTAGCAGGTCACAGGTCTCACAGAACAGCTTCAGCGGCTCTTGTTTGTGGATGTCACACAACACCGGCCTCTGAGCCGACACACCGTGGACCTCTGGGAAACAACAGAAGGTTCATCACTCTGGGTAACTGGACAGTTGTGTCCGGTCTAACATTTGAAGACATTGACAATAAGACTTTTGGCTTTTACTTCTTTTCAAAGTACAACTCTAAATGGTTTCATTGAATTCGGATTCTGCTGAAATTCATGAGCAACGTGTTCCATTACTTAGCTGAGTGAATAGGTTGAATTTGCTCACAGTACCACAAAATGGCATTAAAACTGGGCAAGATGAGAGATTTCTATGTAAATGTATATTTATCAATTGGGCCATTAGTAATACGTTCTTTAAAACAATACTAGTAAAAAGTGTAAGAATGTGGAATGTTGCAGTGAAACCAAGTGACAAAACTTCAAAAGTGCCAAGTGTGTATTTTTAACACACTGAATGCTTAGTCATGATAAACGTATTGTCCTATCGGAAACGACATTTGATTGTGAAGCAGTTAGCCCTGAAATCTATTACAAGCGCTACACTAAACCCAGAGCAACACAATAGATCTTCCCTTTGTCATGGAAACACCACAAAGTCTTTCACAGGATAAAAAAAGATAGAGACGAGGTCACTGGTTAGAATACCGCGCGGGACTTCTGCCTTCTGTCTGATGCTGTGGTCTTTGGTAAATTTGACTCTCTGGTGGGCCTCCACACAGGTGGCACAGAGGTACTCAACGCAGTCCACGCAAAACCCGGCCGCTTCGGTGTTGTCATCACAGGTCATGCAGAGCTACAGGCAGATGAGACAAACAAGCTCGTTTGATCAAGCAAATTGGATGAGATATAATCTGCAAACATGATGTCAGAGTGGACAAAAGACATATCCAAGAACCATTGTGTTGCACCTATATTGTCCCCGTTCCAACCCTCAGGGCACAGGACAACGCTTATCATGATCATCAGCATGCAAGGCTGCCCCCGCATGGTAATGCTTTTTGTCACCGACCTGGACTGTCCTCTCCACTGTGCTGCTGGGAGCCTCAGCTGAGTCCTTCACAAAGACGTTCTCCATCACATCTATCTCCATGCACTCCTGCCTGCACACCGGACAGCGCATCACATTCACTGGAACCACACAGAATCCACACGTTGGAGTAAATCAGCAAAATTGGAAATCCACTTTGTGCTTTTTGATCAAATAACTCACACATGACAGACAATGCATGCACTTAAACACACCAGCCTTCACGTGCCATGGTGATTTTCTTTTATTTATATTGTCTTGCATGGAAGGGGAGGACCCTTTAATCGATCCATGGCCATTGTTTGTAAACAGAGTGACTCACGTGGTTTGGTCGCGCTGTCAACCTGGGAGCTTGGCGGCTCTGCCATGGCCAAATTCCTCGAGGGCGCAGGCAGACATTTCTTGCAAAAAGAATGCAGACACGGCAGAAGTTTGGGCTCTCGACTGTGAAAGTTCAGGCGGCAAACGGGGCAAGTGTCCATGTGATGTTGAACGGTGGCGCCGGACTTTTCCTCTCGCACCTGCTTGCTCTCAGCTTCGTTCTCAACGACGACGGAAGCAGCAGCAGTAGCAGCAGCAACAGCAACATCCCCCGTCTCCTGTTTATCCACGCGTCCATCCATTTGCTGCACTTTTAGCCTTCGAGGCAAAATATCTCTCTATGTGTAGTCTACGAGATGCACACGCACGTGAGCAGACGGGGCTCGAGAGTCATTTCCCTCCTTCACACTATGCGTGTGCTAAAAGAGCATCTTCTCTCACCTGCATGTCCCTCCGCACTCTCCTCCGGGTCATCCTTTTTCTCCAACACAGCGCGCAGATATCAACAATTCTTATACGTGTCACCTTTTCAGTGAAGCGACAACCTATCGACGGGAGCACAGACCTGTCGCACGAGAGATAACAATGCCTCCGCGTGAGGGTGTCGTGTCGCAGATGTTGTGAGACGAGATGTTGCTCAAATTGCACCGCACGCGCTCGTTGCGGCACGAGAGGGGTGGGGTCAAACTGCGCGCGTCTATATAAGAGGAGGTGAGTGATGGAGGACAACGTGTTTGTTACTGTGAAAGTTACTGCGTTACTTCCCAGTTTACGTTTGTTTGCTTTTCAAAGAATACTCGTGATTGTAGTTAATTGGACCGGTACTACAACAGTATGTGCTCAGAAAATAATGCATTAACCTTTCCATTCATTTAGGGCCGTTAATTAATAGTGTCATCATTTTCTTTTTAAAATTTGGATTTTTTTATCAGGCTATATGCCTGAACTTGGGTCATCTATTTTACTGCAAAAACATCAACTTACATTCCATTTATTACATATTGACACTGTATTGGCACAAATCAACACACGACACTTCCATTGATTGTTTTTGTGTGTGTAATGCCATAATGCCTTACTATCACATCCATTGTGACCATCACTCAGTTTGTTATAATAACTGATTGATCTATTACTCATAAAACTATTAAATGAAATTATTTTGGTACTTCTTCAAATTATGTATATTTAAACTGCTATAATAACAACAATAACAGCAATAGTAACACTAAGAGTAATATAATATCCAGATAAGACTTTGAGAAGGGGATAAACAGACCACAATAAACGCCATGACTTCCTTTAGGTTGACAATGCGCTCTAACTTCAGTGAAACGTCAGGGTTCAAGGTTCACTGATAGATTACCTAGTAGGCAGGCGACAGGCCACTTCATATCCACTTTTTCAATGAATCTGACAGCAGACAGCCACAGTATCCCTCTCAGTGACGGGAACCACATTCCACTGCTGGGATTGGGCACCTATGGGGACCCTCAAACGGTAAGAAGAATATCGTCTGTGTGTTTCTACATCTGCATGTGAGCTATAGGCGTGTTGAGCGAAGGAGGACTCTCTGTAATGGAGGAGTGCCTGCGTTCATTGCTTGCAGTGGTTGGATAAATAGTAACATAGATTGATCATCTGAACAGGAATGCATATGAGCACAAACTGCAGCATGACTTAATCTACACCGGGTGAAAAATATTTTCTCTGAATTTGTGATAGACACCCAAAGGCACAGCACTGGAGTGTGTCAAGCATGCCATAGATGTGGGTTACAGGCACTTTGATGGGGCACTGGTGTATTTCAACGAGCACGAAGTGGGTCGAGCCATTAGAGAGAAGATTGCTGATGGAACCGTTCGAAGAGAGGACATCTTTTACTGCGGAAAGGTGATACCTTCTGTCGTATGTCAGGTGTTTTGGACATTTCAATTTTCATTTGAATGTTTTCTAATTAGTACTGTGTGATCTTCCTCAGCTCTGGAATACCTTTCATCCCCCAGAGTTGGTGCGGCCGGCCTTGGAGAGGACACTGAAATCCTTAAAACTGGACTACGTGGATCTCTACATCGTCGAGCTTCCCATGGCCTTCAAGGTTTCTTAATAGCACACAAATAGATTGCAGTTCACTTAGCAACCAGTCATTTAGTGTCTGAACAGTTCCCTTAGGTATGTCACACTGGTGGTGTCTGGTTTTGGATAAGGTATTATTTACCCAAACAGGGTGGTTTGAAGTTAGAAGATGTTTTAAGAAATGTGTGCTGATTGAAAACTATTTGTTATAGAAAGAACAGTTAGTGAGTATAGAAAAACAAACCTAAACAACACATCTACATGATTGTTTCCCAATCTAATGTTTCTTTTTAGTTAAATTATTAAATATACACTAGATAAGATACCAAGACAATTTTATTAAAATGTATAAATGCATAACACATGTGCAATGTGGCTTTAGTTTTAGGTTTCAGAAAAGATTAGACAGCCAAGGGTATGTTTGGTTAAGATTGGGTAACTGGAACAATTTGGCCGTGTTTACAGTTGGCATAAATGTCTTAGTCACACTCAGATATTTGTATTATGTAGGTTGAATTATCCAAAATAGTCGAATTAAAGCCAACTGCAAATTCAAGTTTTAGCATCACCATGAACAGCTCATGCCAAAACCATTGAAGTGTTACATGCAAATGACTGAATTGTGCTTACATTTCAGCCTGGAAATGAGTTCTATCCAAAAGACCAGGATGGAAAGTACATCTACCACCACACAGACCTCTGTGCAACATGGGAGGTGAGTTCTACCGACTTCATCAAAATAGATGGTCCTGCTATTTCAAGACTTTTCTCTTCTCCTCTTTGTTGTCTCTAATGTCTGGATGCAGTATCATGTCATATTGTTTTCTCACTTAGTGTATTTCGTCTTTTTTTGTTTCACTTTTGCTTTCTTACATAAGTATAACTTATGAAGCATGCCAAAAACTGTTACAGACTAAGTGAACATGTATTTATGTTAGAGGGGACGGACAAAATATTAAAAACACTTTGCACAATACTATGAATTTTACATCAACACGAGTGACTGGAAACTGAAAAAATGACAGTAGAGATAGAGAAACTGTGTCACTGGTTAGAGATAGTCTCAACAACATGTATACATATATATATATATATATATATATATATTATAGCCTTCATAGCAGTAAATCAACCACATATCTTGTATCAGCTTTACCTAGAAGTGTCTAATAAGCGAGTGTGATGTTATTTACTTTCGGTATGCAACATAGAATAGGTAGCATCTTTTACAACTTAAAGGATATGCTATTTTCTCTGTGCATTCTAGAGAATGTCTCATGCGCTAACAGAAAAATAATAAATCAGGAGAAACCGCATATGATATTCCTTTTATACTTGAAAGTTGATCCCAGAATATTCTCTGCTGCAGCATCAGAAACTACCAAGGACAGTGTCATAAACAGCCAAGCTCTATTGAGAGATCTGTTTTTTCCTCTTCACCTTGTATTTCTTTCTCCAGTCTCTCAGAGTCTGTAAAGACAATCACTCTCAGTCTTTGAGAGGATGTAAATCTTTTCCTCTCAACAGGCTTTGGAGGCTTGCAAAGACGCAGGGCTGGTTAAATCTCTGGGAGTCTCCAACTTCAATCGCAGACAGCTGGAGCTGCTGCTGAGCAAACCCGGCCTCAAACACAAACCTGTGTCCAACCAGGTGACCCCAACATGTCTCTTTGAGTTTTCTTGGATACATGCCACATAGGAACAAGTTTCCATAGATGGTGCAGTATCAGTGGTTGCTTATATATGCCTGATATTCAACAGACTTTGACGAAACTCTTTTTTCATCTTTTGTTTAGCTTTAATGGTATTAAAGGAGTGCATCTTTCCTCTCCATTCCAATCCAATTCGATTTAGTATAGCACAGGGTGCTGATGTAAAGTCGGACCACTTTGGTCCAGTATTCTTTTTTAAATGATTCATTCTCTTCTTGCTTACCTTCAGGTTGAGTGCCATCCATATTTCACACAACCCAAGCTTCTGGAGTACTGTCGTCACAATGACATTGTGATTGTTGGCTACTGCCCAATTGGCTCCTCCAGAGACGCATCCTGGTATGAAGGTTTGAAGAGATATGCACTTTTCACTGACAGCCGGTATTTTGGAACGTGTTGCTCCCCCTGGTATTGTGTTAAATGGACGGGTGAAAAAAACTCAAGCATTTTTTTTATTTTTTTTGGCATCATTTGTATTTTCTTCTGTCTCTGGTTTAGGGTGAATGTGAAATGTCCTCCCCTGCTGGAGGACGAGCTGATTGTATCTATTGGTAAAAAGTACAACAAGAGTACTGCCCAGGTGGCTCTGCGCTTCAATGTCCAGAGAGGAGTCGCCGTGATCCCCAAGAGCTTCAGCCCCGAGAGGATCAAACACAACTTCCAGGTGGGTTAACCAAAGCGCCTTTTATCATGGCGTGTATGCTTTCGTGCTGAAATCTTTATTTTCATACAGTATTCATGAATCAATTTCAATCATTTTAAGAACAACGACTCATATATTGTTCCAGATATTTGATTTTTCACTCACCGGGGAAGAAATGAAAGCCATTGAGGCACTGAACAAAAACATTCGCTTTGTGGAGCTGCTGATGTAAGTATACGCTTTGGTAGGAAAATATATAATCAAAAGTGAGTTGAATAAAATACTGTACTTGATTTTTATGTAAATATGTAGGTTGTAGTTTGCATTATAATGATTTGTGTTGTGTTGCTTTTTTCAAATAAGAGCTCATCATCATGATCATCATTATGCTCAGAAATTATTTTTTTAAATTCTGTTGTTTCAACACAGGTGGAGTGACCATCCAGAGTACCCATTTCATGATGAATATTAATGTTTCCACTGACTTTTTTCATCATCATTATTTCATCAATGAAGTTTACACTGGTACATTTTCAGAGTCAACACTAGAGGGCTCTAGCTCACAGTAAGTGAAAAGCACAAAGACACGGCTGGTTTTAAGGAGAGCACACAGCTCAGATGTATGATGACAAATGTGTTCAGTTGTTGCATGTGAGTTTCATGTGAGACTCGCAGAAGGCTCGTGTAATATTCAAAGAGAGTTCAGAACAACTGTTTTGAAATTAATTGATGCCACTGTTGCTATAAATGTAGAGAAAAACAAAAAATAATGAAATTACTGAGACATAAGATGGAAACAGTGTGTTTATTTCATGGTTAAGAGTGTTCATGTTGCCCTCCAGTGGCCATGGTGAGGAACTGCAACACACTCAATTAATAAAGACAGCGTCAATAGATAGATATTTCAACCGTTTCATGTCAACGCTGTTATTTTATTGAAAAAAGTAAAGCAAAATACAATGAGAGTTGAACCGTCTGTGTTTATAGTTAATTAAATTTGCTTTTTCTGGTTGTGCATGATTGAAATTCAGGTTTGCCAGCCAAATATCTGACCACATTCACCTTTATAAACATGACATGGACGAGAAAACAGCTGAAAACTATCCGGTCAGGCTTTGGTTAACTCTGAGCTCTCTCAGTCTGGTTTGTTCAGAGAGGGTATATGAGTTTGATCACACTGTGTAATCTTTGTGTACACACCTCTTACCTACTTTAACCGTCATGGCCAGTTTTCTCCTCGGCTGCCTGTCAAAGAAAAATGTACAACCAGAAAATGAAAGCCGTCCGCAGCATTTTACAAATGTGGGTTTTTGTTATTAGTGGCTTAATGTCTGTTCAGATCTCTTCAAAAGCATCCATATTACAAGTCTCCTATGAGCAGTGATTTAGGAAACGTTTTAAGGATACCCCTTACTGCACAAGGCCCCCCTTGAAAAAGGCTTAAGTAAATATTTGTATGTGCACAGTTGATCATTTGATTTCACAGAAACCGAAAAGTGGGGGAAATTATTAATCTGGTCATCCATCCATCGGGCATGCATCCAAATGCTGTTTAGATTAGACTCACAGTGTGTGACATTTAGGGGGATTATTTGGCAGCAATGGGATATAATATTCATAACTATGTTTTAATCAGTGTATAATCACCTGAAACTGGGAATCTCAGTGTTTTCGTTAGCTTAGAAAAAGCCATTTATATCTTCATAGATACAGGCTTCCACAGAGTCCGCCATCTTGCACCGCCATGTTTCTACAGCAGCCCAGATTGGAAACTGGCTCTAGCGACAGCCTTTATGTTAAACGGGCCCTGGTGCTAAATTACCGGAGTATTGATAAGCCCTGATGTTTTATTAGTACTTTTTAATGTTTTGAAGTCATTTATTTTCACGGCGCAGCACGTATTTGCTCTGCTCTCTCTGTCAGGCTGAGATCCTCAAACTACACACACACATATGCACAAACACACACACGAAGCGCGAGCAGATAGCTCGCTGCGGTGAAGTGAACTAGATGAAGTGAAGGATACTTGAGCTGACGGCAACTACGCTTGTTACTGTAACTGCAATAAAATATTTGCGAGTAAAAAGCCAATACTTTATCAATACATCTGTGCAACAAGAACGGACACGTAAATGAAAGTGAAACCTAATTCAATCGGTTACTGCGGCCACATTTACACAAGCACAGCAGGCATGATCAGCCAAACGTTTTTTTTATAAACTTATTGAATAACTGACACTAATGGATGCCTGCCTTCTTCTTTCTTTATAAACTTCACTCAGAAGTGTTTATTTTACATTTGTTTCTGAGATATTAATGACAATAGTGACTTTGTTGCTGCTCTATAAACAATATTTAGATATATTTTAAATATAAATTCTAATCCTGTTCTGAATGTATTTGTTTTGAAAATTCTATGTGTGTTTTCAAAAGCAATTATTTAGTCACATAGAAAAGCAGAGTAGCTTCTAGTTCTACTGAAATCCTAAAGATAACTGTCCTGACAGGAAAGGAAGGGGTGAGTCATTTCATTCATTTGAGTTTGATCTAAAGAGACAGGATGGATCCTTCACAGGATGAAGAAATACAGTTCATTAATGAGCCCCCTTGTCATAATCTGCCTTGCTCCACGTTTTTCCTACGTTTCATTAATTTATGTCTAGTGTGTCCTGTTTTATTTTGTCACTCACCTCTCCCCTCTATCGTTTCAGATCACTTCACTTCCTGCTTTTGTATGTTTTACACACCTGTCCACACTTCCCCAATTCAGTCATTCACCAGCCCAGTTTGTTTGTTTTTTGTCAGCTCATCATTGTTGTTATGTGGTGTTCAGTTACCTTTTTGCCTGTAACCTGTCTGCCCAGTAGCGATAGAAGTAAGTTATGACCTGCCCCAGTGCCCACTATTATTACGCGCCATGGTGCACACTAATTACTAGTCATGAAGAGCACACACACACACATATACAGGCACACTATTACATGTAGGGCTGGGTATCGGTTCTCGTATACCTTTTAAAGTATCGGCAGAAATAACCCAGTAAGTATCGAAACCCTGGATCGATCCCTTTTGTGCCTAAATCTCGAAAACAAAAAACTATTTGTATGGTTTTGATCGCAGCCAATCACCGCAAGTGCTACATATTTATTGTGACAATTTGAAACAATTTCATAAATGTGACAAATTAAACTTTTGCACTTGTGAGGTTATGAATGAGGTTATGAATGCATGCACCATGCTAAACCTTAGATGTTTGGAGATGAGGATGGTGCCATCTCATTGCAATGATATTATCCTGTATATGATTCTTGTATGATCTTTTTGATTAGCAACCATGAGGTCATGCTGTCAAATGGAATTAGACTTATTGGGGTGAAGGGTTGCAACATCATATATGTGGCCAAGAGCTTTACTCATGCTGGAAATTGCAGAGATTTAAAATCTGCTAAGTTACTGTAGGTTAGAAAATGGGACCACGATGAAAAGTTTGAAGACTTTGTTGACTTAACTTTTTTAATTATTTTTGAACTGATTAAACAGGTTATTCAGATATTAAATGTCTAAACTGCCACAAAACTAAAGTCAGACAGACCGCTTCATTTTTATAGGAAGCTAATGTGTCTGTGTCTGGAATCATAAGTTGACTTTAGGTGGGGGTGGGGTGGGGAGTTTACAAGAAAGACCTCAACCTGAAAGATTTCAGACAGGAAAAGCAGAAGCACATCACTCCCACCCCCCCCCCACCTCCATTAAGACCCTCTGGATCGTGACCTTCTAACAATTGCCTCGAACCGAGCCAGTCTGGACCCCCACGGTGGGAAAATGTTCTGAATGGGCAACTGGGTCTGTGGGGGGAATACAGACTCTTTTCCGGGGGCTGAATTAAGGATGTGTTCGGAGAAGGGGCTTCATGAAGCAAGAGAGATGTTTTAATTCCACTCAGTCAGAGAAGACCATTGAAATTATTTTAAATGTACAGGGTTTGAGGTTGATGCATTTCTTTATCTTTCAGAGGAGACACTCGGGTGAATAGAGTAAAACATTAACTAATGGATGTCGCAATGTCACTTCCCCAGTTGATTTTCTTAAATGTTATGTATAAATATGCAAATGTGGCATTGTCTAATCAAATATAAGCTAATTTGCATACATTTCAAGTTCAGAAATCGGAACATTGGACAGTCAGGTTAAAAAATTTTTTTTTTTAAAAAATGGTCATTAAAGATATGTAAAGATCAGACACTGCAGGTGAATGGGGTGAAAAGCTTAACTCATAATTATCAACAAGAAACTTGCATAACTTAAGATAACTTACATAAAGACAATTATTTCTTTTTTTGTTTAGATATGCAAATGAGGCATTATCTAATACTAACTTTTGGTGAATTAAAAGGAAATCTGCTGAAGCAAATAAACAAAGATGGGTAAAATAAACATCTAAATGTGTATTTGGGATTTTTGTCTCTCCCCTCGTCTGAAAGAAGATGCTATAGAAGCATAATAATCCCAAAACTGATCAGTGCATGAAAAAGCAGTGTTTTTGCCTAGGGTGGCTTCGACTTAAATCTTTTGCAAACCCACCTCAGAAATATTTGCCCTTTGCAGATATGCACACACATGTCAATGCCTGTCATATATGTAATCTGATGGTTCACCTGAACGCAAGTGTTACAAGCCTCTCCCCCCATGCTCCCTGGTTGCTCTTTGAACAGAAAGGCCCTGGGAGAATGTGTGTGTCAAAAGGTTACGCAATCAGCCCACCACACTGAGACAGCACAGACCTCTAGTGTGCTGTGGGGAGTGAGTGTATGTGTGTGTGTGTGTTTGTGTGTGGGGTGTCTGAATGGAATTGGATAAAGGGAGGCGGGGGGGTCTTCAAAGAGGGGCAACTCCGAGGGAAAATCTCACTGCGGGCTGCACCAAAGATTTCAGTTTGTCAGATCTCCTCCCATCCATGAATGTTATATAGTGAAACCTAAAACGGCAGCAGGGCCGTATTTGGTGGCCCAATCACAACATTATGAAAGGTGAGTGACTTTGGTTGTTGATCATGTGATTATATTTGTTTTTGCCAGAGATGGACAATAAGTGAAAGTATTGCTGTTTATGAGACAAAAATGGACATATTCATGGTGATCTTACATTTGTCTTTCGTTGTTTAGTGGCAGTAGAGCTCAGTGAAGGCTGTTGTTTTCAAAGACTTCTGTCTTATTTAGTTTCTTTAAGAAATAAACCCCGGTTTCGTCCAGCTAATTCAGTTCATTACATGCTGAGATCATGCTGTAATCAGAAAGCAGATCAAATCGGACAGAATGTGTTCTAAGACGAGTTGCTTGTATGGAATGTAATTCATCGTCAGTCCTTCACAACGGAATGAGTAGCTGGTGGTGATGATGATAGAGAAACGTGCTTATTCATGTGCCTGTATCAGTCCCATGCTCCGGGACACCTGTAACTGGCTACTTTCTCCCACTGGCTGTTCTACTCCATGTCCTTGTGGAAAGCCATGATCACCACAGTGGAGTACACAATTCTAACAGTTTTGGATGGTTTTTATGATGTTTCCTCTTTCTAAATCTTACTTGTAGTCTTCTTACTCCTTACACCTTGGTGTAGCTCACATAGGGGAGTGCAAAGGTGGGTGGCATGTGGTCCTTTGTGGTGGGCTAGTCGGGCCCACAATGCCAGGGCCGATTTGTTTTGTACCTGTCCAACCCTGGAAATAAATGATCTGTCAGAGAACATGGATCTACAGTGTTGCCAATGAAAAGATCTCATTATACATCTATTTGAGACACTGAAAATATAACAGATAAGGCTCATAGTCAAACTAATAGCCTTAGTCTAAAAGAGATATTTGCCATTTTTAGTTACAGCTTATGTATTGCTATTGTTATGTGTTCTTTTGCACCAACCAGATATATCTCTCCTAACTTCCACTAATCCAGTTATGCATTGTGCAATCATCCAACTGTATAGCTGCACGTGTTTAGAAGAGGAACCATTATTTCATATCCTCAGGCTTTTGTGCCGACGTATATTGATGTCATAAATAAAGTACCACACTAATGTCTGACTGATCTATCAGTGTACTCTTTGGTTTTTTTTCCACTTTCACCTCGACTGTGTGGTCTCTACTTATCTCAATTGTGGTCACTCATACTGGCTTCTGATTTGTATCAATTCTAAACAAAAATCAGTACAACAAACGGCTCATATTAACAATCAATTATATGACTCCTATGTGAAAAGGGTTGCTCTTAATGACAAACCCACACCACCCGACTTTGCAGTTTCCTTCAGCTCTACATAGCGTTTGAGTGTCTTTCAGCTTATTCTTTTGGTGTCGCGGCCCTCAGTTGTACTAAGATCACTCTCGACGCTCTCATCTACCTTCTATCCCGCCACAGCAAAAAGTTAAGTATTCAACCATCTCATTTGGTTAGAGCAAGCTACTGGCTGGGGTCAGGTAAAAACAACCAGATGTCTGATGAATTCATCAGGGTTAACTTTGGCATCTTAATCCCTGGGTGCCACAAGATTTAACATGCTTGACAGGAAGCTAATAAAAACTGGAGGTATGGATATTTTATGGAAGCCCAACTTTATGGAAGAGTACTGCTAAATCACTGTAGTTACCCTTTAGAGCAGGGGTGGGCAATTATTTTTCCCAAGGGGCCACATGAGAAACAGGGACTGTTGTGGAAGGGCCGGATCAATAGACTGAACTCAATCCTGCTCAATATTATTCCACCTCTTTATAAAAAGCAGTACATTGTATGGTTTTAATAAGCTGTGAGTGGTAAGAGTAAATGTTATGATCAGTGGTGGAATATAACTACTATACTTGCTTAAGTATTGTACTTAAGTACAAATTCAAGGTACTTTACTTGAGTATTTCCATTTTATACAATGTTGTACTTCCACTCCATTATATCTCAGAGGAAAATATTGTACTTTTTACTCCACTACATTTGTCTGGAGGTTTTAGTTACTAGATACTTTGCACATTATCATTTTTCAAACCCTTCCTAACTACCCAAACTGAACAACAGTGTATAAAGGAGTTAAAATAAGCTCCACCTGAAACATCTGCAGCAGGAATAATGATCCAGAAAATATACATATTTAATATCCATATATAATAATAAATTACTGGCAGGGTTGACTGACATGTTTCTGCAAAGTCAGTACTTTTATCACTATTGTTTGTAGTCCAATTACCTCATTTTCTATTTCTCCGTTCAGTGCGAGAAATCTAGTCTGTGTTGAGCTTGAACGAGTGCACTGAAGTCAGGTTGAATGTGTGAGGTGAGATGTGAAGGACAGCTGACAGGTGATGGTCAGTGAGAGAGGATCTGGATCTGGATTTGTTAAACTTCATCACGAGAATGTTTGTTCACATATGTAGGTAGATCCAAAGAGAACCAACATCTTCTAGGCATGTTGCTTTTGCAGCTTAGCCTCAGAGGTCCGTGCCCGCTCTGCATCAGTCAAGTTTTTGTATTTCTCTGTGTTTCGTCTCGTAATGGCGATTCAAATTGCAATCCTTAAACACTGCGATCCGTTCTCCGCAATCTAAGCACACGGCTTTACATTTGACTTCAGTAAATAAATACTTGGAAGTCTATGTTATGCTAAAAACTCTACACTCTGTATCAGTCTTTTTTTTTACATAGGCTGACATTTTTTTGGGTTAACAGCTGGGTCTGACAACTACGAGTTTGAAAATAAAAAAATTGTTATCATGGAGCACCAGCAAGCTTGATTTTTGAATGTTTAATCTGTATCAGTGCATCCTATTTCAGTCATATGTTTTGTATGCCAAATCAGTAAAAGATGTCAGATAAATGTTGAATCTAAAAGTAGTTGACAGCTCAGATGGAGGGACAGAGATCTTTCTGTCCAATTCATCTCTGGTAAAAGATCCAAAGGCCAAGCTGCCACTGTTTTCTGGTGGAATAAGCAAGCTACTTTTAGACAAGCTCCTCATCTCTGCGTGAGGCTAAATAAGGCTCGAGGCTGCTAGCAGGATAAAACATCGGATTTCGTACAAAACTGTCGGAAGGCGACTTGCATTGTGGGCAATGTAGGCACTGGGTTTTGACAAGGAAGAAGAATGCTTGGAATATAAATGAAGATTTTGCTGGTTTTGCTGCATCCTTTTTTTATACTATTTTTTTTTAACTGTCCATTGTGCGTCCGACAAGTTCAATGCCAAATCGGCAGAGTAATGTTACAAGGACAAATGAGAAGACTCAATCGCCACTAAGTGAGCCACACATTCATCCAATCATTCAATAGGTCACTCTGTCACTCAGTCACTTGCTCAGTCAGTCCACAGCTTTTCAGAGAGGTGAAGTTGGCATTGTTTCCTGGGATAAAGCTCCACTGTGGCTCGGTGAGGTAATTCACAGACTTGGCATATTTTCTCACAGTGTGCCTTTTCTCTCACGTTCTATAAGCATGTATGTATGAAACCTATTTTAGCCCGACTATGCTACTATAAATAATGCCCGTATTTAGTCTCACCTATTAAAAGAACTGTGTTCAAAGTGAGATATTTGGCTTGTGTGTTGGGCTTCCCAGCATCCACAAAGAAACTGTGAAAAAGTAAGGTAAACTGTGATCTGGCTGCAAAGCCAGTGAGGATTCTCATTTGCCAGCGCAGAGCAGTGGGGCTCCTTTGGCTTTTGTTGCACCAAGCCTTCATTCCCACCAAGTGCCTTCTGAAAACAAGGGGCTCTATTTTTACCTCAGGCCAGAATTTGGCACAAGTGCTGGAGATTTTGGCTCCTGAAACATGTCCAGCCTCCAACCTCATGTGCACAGCACACACAGAGTCACAGTTGTGCTCCACCTCTGCCCATTTTTCCAGTGGGAGTACATTCCTAAAAGTGGCTTCACAAAAGCATTCTGGCTAAAGGTGATTTCCATCCCCTGTGTTGTTTTCCGAACTCCCGTGAGACCGGGTCACACAACACGTCACGCGTGTTTGTTTGTGTGGATGTGTGAAGGATAAATGAAGGGAAGGAGGTTTGATGGCATGTATTCTTGCAAGTGAATTAGTTTGAGCATATCTCCTGCAGACTGATGAACAGTCCGTCTGAATTTGGACTGCAGCAGCGATCGTGATGTGTTTGAGAGAGAGAGGGGGGGGGAGGGTAACAGAGGGGCCAGTGAGAGGCCTGTTAATGCAACCTGACAGGAGTGAGCACAGTCAGTGAGTTGTCTGTTTCCTCCACAGAGCGTAATTCTTTCAGCGGCACTGGCCCCTAAACAGGGTCTGGCCAAGGGCTTGACTAACTTCTAGCGTGGTCACGTAACATCAAGCCATTACTGACCTCATCCAACACAGGAAGAGTAGTGACAGACGTTATGTAGTAGCTCAGGTTAACAAAAACAGGCATATTTGGCTCATCACATACACAGTGGGAATTCTCCTTGACAATTCGCCATGGTCCTGTAATTCTTTCTTCTCCCTCCAAGTACACTTAATCTTCCTAAAAACCCCTTTACACTTAAATCCAATTAAAGCAAACTGTTAAGTCCCTTAAGGACTACTGAGAGATATTTTAAGTTTGTTCTGTTTTGCACTGGGAGCCAATGAGGGGATTTAAGCTCTGCAGTAATATGTTTGGTTTTGAGAGTATACATCAAGACTGTCTGCTGCATTTTGGATTTGCTGGCTGTTACTCTCCCCGATTAAGGTCTAGGGTAGGGGTATTCAATTAAAGTTCACCGAGGTCCAGTTAGAGAGAATTTCCTCATCCAACGGTCCGGAACACCAAATAACGTCTTGACTTGCGCTCTGATTTAGTGCCATGTATATTGAAGTAGGCAACAGTTGTATTAACGTCTGTATGTCGTCAACATCTGACTGTCAAATCAAATAAAGAAAGTTCAACTGAATAACACAAACACTATTTATTGTCAGATTTCAGATTGAACTGGATTCATTATAAATAATATATACTCTAATAACAAATAAATGTTCTCTTATTTCAAGTAAAATGTAGGCTGAATTAAAAAGTAAAACACATATCAGTAAGCTTTTGAAAAACGTGACTCTTAAAATAAAGTACTTCATTTTAGAAAAATTAATTTAACTGAATTGTCTTTGTGTGCAGGGACTTTATCTGTGGTTAATAAACCAGTTGTTTCAGCTCTATTCATTTCTGTTAACATTGTTGTTGGGCAGTGAATTAATGCATTAGGATTCTGTTCATTTTGGGCTCTTAGATCCTTTATTTTTTGTACCTTCATTTCGGATTTGAGTGGGTACGTTTGCTCAAAAGAGTTGTGCTTTGTCTCGTAGTGACGCTTCACACGCTGTCTCTGAACATATGAGAAATACTGGTTTTGAACTGTATGTAGGAAGAATGAAGATATATGAGTCTGTCTATTCTTGGTTAAAGACTGGTCTCTCTGGTCTCTCTGGTCTCTCTGGTCTCTCTGGTCTATCTGGTCTCTCTGGTCTCTCTGGTCTATCTGGTCTCTCTGGTCCACATTTCTCTTCTTAGAGAACGGTATGTGAAATAACTTCTCTGACTCACGTACCTCTCCGACTGTTGGGTCTCTCTCTTGTGTGTGTGCAAATGTCACTGGAGTTGCGAAGCTTATAGGAATACACATATATGATTTACAGCACATGTAATTGGTCGGTGTGTTTCCTGGACCTCTGACCGAGTGCCGTAAAGGCTGGAAAAGCTGTGCCGGTAAAAATAGAAGCGCTCTGTTAGAATTTATTAATTATCAATTATCGGTTTTAGATCCGGGTCCGCATACAACGGCGTTTGGGTCCGGAACCAAACCGCGGCCCGCCTATTAGTGACCCCTGGTCTAGGGGATGAGGGGAATAACAAAGTAAATAACCCAGGGGAAAAGAATCCTGGGCAACAGATGAATAAACAAAAAAAAGATTAATTAACGAAAAGATGCTCACACAGGCAACATCGGAAAACTACTTTCTTAAAAAAGAAAGTGACACTAACCAACAGCAGTGATAATGGAACTCAAAACACCACATTAGGAATCACGCTAGTGGGTCAGAGTATTAACACTACACATTTGAACGGAGGAGATCAACACACCAACAGCTGGAACGCTGCACTTGGCCCACGGGATTGTCTGTGTGGATCTCCCGGCCTTTTAACCACCATGGCCACTAATAGGTGGTTGAGCCCAGCCAGGTTGGCTGACAAGCTGCAGCTGCTAGGCAGGAACCAGGGTGGCACCTGATTGGACACTGGGGGTGGGAAACATGAAACACACAAAAAAATCTCACCCACGGGACAGAGCATCAACCACCACATTGCCTGCCCCCTTTCTTCTGCTATATTTCAATAAGGCGTTGGGCCCTGCACCAACGCAACCGCTGGTTATGGTTGTAGACCTACATCTGGGCCAGGAAGACAAGAGGGTTATGATCGGTGGACACAGTCACCGGCGATGAACTGGAGCCCACACACACAATCATGACCAGAGCATCTCCTCAATGGTGGAGTAGTTCAGCACGTGGTGCTTGAACTTCACAGAGAAGTAGCACACAGGATGGCACACATCTCCCTCGCCCTCTTGCAACAGCACAGCACCGGCTCCAGAAGCACTAGCATCGACTTCAAGTTTAAAGGGAAGCGGGAAGTTGGGAGCAGACAACACTGGAGATCTGCATTGGAGAGACTTGGCAGCATTAAACGCATGACAACACTCAAGGGTGGCACCTGAATGGACACTGGGGAGACAGCGGAGAGAGCATAGAGAAGACACAACACAGTATGTAATACCCCCCTCCCATAAGACCGACACTGCAGGATCAGTAACTGACTCTGTTACACCCTTAGGGTCCTTTAAGGTTCCGTTCACCGAACAACTAACACAGGGAGACCTGTCCTGGGACTCAAACACATCTGGGTAGCTCTGATCAGACATAGTCAGATATGGGGACATCCACAACTTCAGGGGCAGGGGAAACTTTACCTTCCCCTATATCATTTTCCCAGGATGAAATCCATCAACAGGAAAACATGAGCGGACGGCCAAAGTCAACGTAAGCCTGGTTGTAAGCCTTCATAAGGCTTCGGAAACGCTGTCTGGAAGCCTCTGGCACTAACTCATACACTCCCGGAATGGCACCTTTAACCTTCTTGTAAACCAGCATACCTCCCACAGAAAGTGAAGAGCAAGATTCCTGAGCTTTACCTACCAATTTACATTGAAGAAGTACGGCCCACACATCTTCTGGCCATCGCAAAGCAGCAACGATGCGCTCAAACGCACCGAAAAATACGACTCTACCTCACACTCGCGAAACACAGGGAGCAAAGAAATATTCTTACTGACATTGAATGCAGCAGTGAAATTTGCCGTTACCTGTGTACCTGCAGAGGTGCTACCAGAGCTCGATTGCAGTTCTGACTCACGCATCCTAAAACCGGTCCCTGCCTCCAACTTGCGCAACTCTAACATCCTCCGGAGCGAGACACACCTTTAATCAAGCATCTAACCTTGAACAAGGAGATAACCACAACAAATGGATCAAACTGGAGCAATGTCGCTCTGCACTGCCGGAGTGAAACTAACAGGCTGCTGCTCGGTTGCCTCCCACACCGGAGGATCAGAGCTCCCGTCGCCCGGAGATACCGCTGCCTCTAAGCCAGTAGACTCTACCTGTGCCGGTAAGCTGAGAACACCCTTACTTTAAACTATTAAGAAAAACTGCTCTGAGATCCCCCTTTTTCTTCCAGATTTGTTTTGTTGTTTACTGTGAAAAAGGCAGGGATATAATTCAGTACAATACTTGGTTGACTGTCAGTATATTCATTTTGTATTGCTATCTTTGTCAAGATCTGTGATTCAGATCAAAAGAGTTTTGACTGGTGTAATGCAAACTGAAGAATCAATCTGATTCGCCCAACGCTGGACACAGACAGCGTGGTGGTGTAAAAACAATCTTTTATTGCCACAAGGATAAGAATGTGAGACTATAATGGCTGGAGAATGTGAATCCAGGGTCCACAGGGAAGAATTGGAGATGGCAGAGCTGAAGCAGATAACGAGCCATAGCATAGCTGGCAGGCAAATAGTCGACCTGAGACAGTGGAAAAAAACAAAACAAGTTAGAGGTACGAGAAACACTATGGAATAAACCATACTGAACATGGCCTGTCACTGGCGTATAGCGACAACTACCTAGTAAGGAGTTGTTGGAGAGCCTGGAGTTGCATGTGGGGGAGCTGATGAGAAGTAGGTGCTCTTGATGAGATTGTACAGAACAGCCAGAAAAGCATGCTGGCTTGAATACTGTGAAATACTACTGGATTCAGTAGGATATCTTGGCATTTTTTTTGCATACTGCGTTTGCAGTATTAAGATTTCCTGGGGAACACAGGAAACTCAAGGAAACAGGGAAAATACATATACCGTATAATTTTCCTTACATTTGGCATATTGTGATAGAATTCTCCATGTGACATCATCACCATCGATGTCATTTGTTTAATTGCTTTTCAGATAAAGAAGATACTTGTTGACGTTAACCAATTAACACTGAGCTGTAGAACATGTACTATGCTTGTGTCTTTAATTCTTTGTCAAAGGACTTGCCATTGAAAAACAAAGCAATCAGATATTCGTCTCAGGATATGTGAAATTATGTCTTTTGTCCTATTTCCTCTTAGTCATTTTTGTTTATTTCTCTACCCTTTGGTCACACAGGGGATACGGAGAACATGTCCAAAATGGAGCCCTCCAATGGGCACAGCAGGCCCCTGGACGTTGTGCCCAGTAAAGAGGAGAAGATGACAGAGCGGGGTCAGTGGGGCAACAAGATCGAGTTTGTTCTGTCAGTGGCTGGAGAAATTATTGGCCTGGGAAATGTCTGGCGTTTCCCCTACCTTTGCTATAAGAACGGAGGAGGTGAGTGCTAGAATTTCTATTCTCTGGCCTGTTCAACACAAAAGCTTTTAGATTTAGTCATCGCGTTTATTCCACCACAGAAACACAAAGCTTCTAGAAATTCCAGCTTTGCATTTGTTTGCAATTGCGTCGCAGGCAGCCAAATTCAGCTTCTGAGAGGCGATGGTTTTGAATTAGTTTAGCAGGAGATAATACACGGGTTAATACATAATCAAAGAGGGGTCATGGTTCACTGAAAATAGGAAAAGAGCCAGTGGTTGCCAATTAGCTGATGTTTGAGAGATCAGTGACGAAGAATAAAAACTAGTAAACTATATAATCTTGTATCTTTATTATCCCATAGGAAGTAAAATTGTTTGATTCTCTAGATGGACAATATCAGATTTATTCTAGCAGCATAATATCTGCACGACTTTGTATCATGACCATAGAAGGCTTTCAATTCCAACAACTTGCAGTGGCCTCTACTACTCTACATTGCTTGGGAGCACATTGATGGGCTAACTGTTCCTTTTAATGTGTGTGCTTCTATAGGTGCCTTCTTCATCCCGTACCTCATCTTCCTGTTTGCTTGTGGGATCCCGGTCTTCTTCCTGGAGACGTCTCTGGGTCAGTACACCAGTGAGGGAGGCATCACTTGCTGGAGGAAAATCTGCCCCTTGTTTGAAGGTAATCTAACTATTTTCCAAAGAAATATTAGTTAGTGGATGTTAAAAACACTCTACGGCACCAAGAGTGGATGAAATTCCTCAGCCTAGAACTTTAAGTGTCTCCCAACGTCACAGCATGCGTCTTATTCTGAAACGATGAAAAACAACGAGTTGCTTGTGCTCTAAATGGGATACATACGAAGATTTAAGAGGACAAACCAGTGACATATTCAAAATAGGTGCAACCATGTGGGATGACGGGGGAATTTCTCTTTGTTTATGTGCATATATCCTTTTTGTTCACATTACGTGCATTATATGTGTGACTTTGTGTGCGTCTGTGTCTGCACTCGTGTGTCAAACAACCAGTGTGAACGCCATACACATGTAGGATGGGGATGAATGCAGTTGTTACAGCTGTCAAGTAACCAACACGGGCTAACATTGCTTTTTTTTTTCCTTTCAAATAAGTCTCCAATCATCCATAATCATGACCCACACAGGATCACAGTCGGTAAATTGTTGAGTCAAGTGTGCAATCACCTGTTGGAACAAGAGTTCTACTAAAAAATGTAGCCTGGTACAATTTAAGATGCGTCTAATTTACTATACTCTGATGCAGTCGTTTGAAAAAGCAGCAGCGGTGACCTAAAGATGTGTGTAATCAAGCTGTTTACAAGGATAAACTGTGCCTCTGTCTATAGTAAATGGATCTGTCAGGGAGCTCTTATCAGTCATTTCTGTAGTGAAACTGTGGTGGTGTTCTCAGACTACTGTCAAATGCAACATTGCACTTACAGCGGATGCAGGTTGGTTATTTAAAATGTCTTTAAATTTCCCCTTTTTTCCCCAAAACATTTACAGTTCAGTCATAAACTTGATGTTTCTCTGTTCCAGGAGTGGGGTATGCCACCCAGGTGATTGCTGGCCTGCTTAACATCTACTACATCGTTGTGTTGGCCTGGGCTCTCTTCTATCTGTCCAACTGCTTCACCTGGGATCTGCCCTGGGCCTCCTGCAACAACACCTGGAACACAGGTGAGCCGCAGGACCAAATGCCAAAAAAACAATGTGTGCTTCTGCCTTCTGCTAGACATCTATAGTCTTGTGTGTATTCATTAATCAGGTGTAGCCAGGTCTCCATCATGTCATGCTTATGGAGATCTGAATAAAACATTTTAGCCACACGTGGATGACAACAGGAGTCGTTCCAACACATTTGGCGAGACTAAAATATCTCAACTATTTGAATTGCCGTGAATATATGAAGTTGCGTCAATATGCAGTTGAGATTTTGGAGTTTGAGTAAAATGTTGTGAGAACTATTAGATTTGAATTTGTCCAATACTTTACTGGTTTATGACAAAATACTGTGAAAAACCTACTCCCATTAACTCCAGCAGAGCTTTAGTTTAGTGCTAATTAGCACATGTTAGAATGTTAACACCAAGCACTTAGATGCTAAACATGTTACACGGTAAATATCTGCATGTTTGCATTGAACAACTCTGGCTACAGACTTTTAGTTTTGTTTATTTTAAAACAATTACACATATTTATTTTTTTCGGGTGTTCCCCTTCAACATTTCATTCATTTCCAGTTGCATTTTATCTTAAGGTAGTGAATGTTCCTGCACCATTTCACTTCTCCGTCTCAGTGGTGGCATTATTTCACTTGCCTGTGTGTAACTTGGATACCTCAGAGAAAGCTTGGTTTTCTTCACAGGATTGAATGTCTTTCTGTCTTTTCTTTCATTCAAGATTCTTGTATGGCATTTCAGAGGGGGAATAGCTCCATCAATCACCATGAGAACACCACCTCTCCTGTCATTGAGTTCTGGGAGTAAGTGCCTTTTTGGTTGGCCTTGTCCTCAAATGGCCTTATAGGTGCCAACAAGCTCACCAAATATTCAACTTCAATCTTGTTTTCCATCCTGTTTTAAAAAAATGTGTGACTGTTAGACCGGATAGAACTTTCACTACTGGTTCTGAAACTTCGTAGTTTTGCTACAAAGCCCTTTGAATTTCTTATGTATTATTTGTGTGCGATCCCCAGGCGAAGAGTGCTGAGAATTTCCTCAGGTATTCATCACATTGGCTCTCTGAATGGGGACCTGGTTATCTGTCTGGCCGTTGCGTGGGTCATTTGCTACTTCTGCATTTGGAAGGGTGTCAAGTCTACTGGCAAGGTGAAACCTCTCCCCCACTCACAACAGACAAACATTCACTGAACAGTATAAAAAGAGAGTATTGGAAGATAGTTTTCTGTAGCATTCCTTATTTAAAAGACTTGTTTTGCTCTAATTTCCTTCAATATGTGTTCGCTGTGTGGTTGGGTCTTTCCCAACACTTGCAGGAAGTGTTGCATTGTTTACAGTATCAGAAGGAATAAAACTTGCATGAACTGGGCAGCTAGCGCAAAAGTGTTAATGCACATAGATTGCCACCTGAACCTCAAACCTCATCAAGTGAAAATCTAGAACACCAAACATGCATAAGTTCTGCAGAACCCTTTAAGACATTGTCGACAATTTAACACAATATATAATTTCACGTTTTAGCCTGAACACTCTATTGGAGAAGGAAGAACGTCTCGTTGCTATAAGTCTTGTAAATGTATCTCTGATTGAGAATTGCTGCTATTCCCCTGCAGGTGGTTTACTTCACAGCCACCTTCCCTTACGCTATGCTGGTGATCCTGCTGATCCGAGGGGTCACCCTGCCAGGAGCCTCCACGGGAATCCACTACTACCTCTACCCCGACCTGCAACGGCTGTCTGACCCACAGGTATGCTGCAAATACACTTGCTTTCAGACGTGAACATTCACAGAAACAAAAACTCGGACACATGCAGATACAACTGTAAGAAACTATGATGTCATGTCTACTAGCATGGTAATATTGTTAATTATTTGTAATAATATTAAAACTGGTACAGTGTGCTGAAGTGATAATACTCACTCACATTGACAAATATTTTATAATATTAGTTACTAAAAGTGTTTTGGGGAATGCCAAACCAACACATCCTCCTAGCTCCTTAAAGCTTTCGCCATCTCTGCGATTTTATTGAGAAATTAACCGATAACTTCTGCTTGCCTAGCAAAACAGTGGCAGCAGGATGATGGAGTTGGAGATACGGAGGCTGAGACTGAGCAGTGACCTAAAAGTTGCTGGTTAAATCGGGAATGTGTGGAGGATGTTGCTATAAATTGGAATGGTGGTGATTAGTTGTGCACAAGTTTGGCAGTTTAGGCATTGAAAGCTTTTTATTTACCACATATTTCACAGCATTTGAGTTGGCATTTATTCGCTTGAAAGTTTGTTTACATCTTGTCTGGATGCGATTGATCAGAAAAGTTACACTGTCAATAAATAGGTTGGGTGCAAATCCTGTCTTTGGTGTCAAATACGTTTTGCATCCATCCACATCCATCCATCCACTCATAACGTTACATTACTTCCTGCTTTTGCACTGAACCCAAACATAGCTTTAAAGGAGACATAGTGTGCTCATTTCCAGGTTGATATTTGTATTTTGGGTTTCTACTAGGAACATGTTTACATGCTTTAGTGTTCAAAAACGCTTTTATTTTTCTCATACTGTCTGTCTGTTTTCACCTTCTGTCTGATACGCTCCATTTACGGGCATTTCAATGGAGTTGTGTTGCTAGTCGACAGCTTGTTTACTTCCTGTCGGCTGTTGTCATTCACATACACTGCAACCCGAAATAAACTGAGTCAAATTTGAAGTTTTTACATTAATAAGAGTGAAAAACTCTTATACATGTTTAAGGGTCAATTATATATCTAATTTTTTGTGACAACACAACCATACGGAAATCCAGACGGCTCGTTTAAAGGCACAGTTTCTGAATACGACTTTGTGTATTCCCCCATGGATTGAGCATTTCGATACTTTATAGCACCTAGAAATGCTTTATAGCTTTATAATAAAAAAGTCTCGAGGGGACAGTGTCATTTAATGGTGCTAGCAGAATGTCATGCCTTATTCCCCGCTGCAGGAAAGAGTGAATAGGGAATGGTGCAGGGATTCCACAATTTCTTCTGTCCGTTAGATTGCAACCAGTGTGAAAATCAAAAAAAAAGGGGTCCTCTTAAATCCCTCTCAGGGCTCTAGGGAAGAATACGAGCCCAGTGTGTGCAAAGCCTGACAAGCTAGGCTGGTGGAGTCGGTGCCTTGGGAATACCTGCCTTTGTGTAGTGTTGTGTCCAGCGCTTGTGTTGTTGGTTTGATCCCCAGTCAATCAGATCTTCAGCGCTGGCTGCCAGCTATCTAAAACATGCCCCAGTGCCCTGGCAGCACTTTACCAGAATTGCAAGCATAAAGACAAACCTCATTTGAATTTTGAAGTGCCAGTGAGTTTACAAAGAGAGGGTGGAAAAGTGCTGCACTTTATGCCTCGGAGAGACAGGGGTGCATACATAGGCTTTGCTGAGTGGGTGAGGTCAGGATGGAGGAGTTGAATGGGTGAGTTTCGGGATTTGATAGATGCATTGGGTGTTTTTAAAAAGGGATCAGATGGTGTATGTGGAGATAACTCTTTCATTATGAGTACATGGGAGGCTGTGTGAGGAGGGCAGTCTCCGACATTTGACGTAGTACTATTTTAGTGCTGAATATCTTTTTATATTGCTAATGAAATGCTCCTTGTAGATACGCAGACTGGTAAGATACAGCTTCCACACTGCAGAGTGAACCGAGTCTTCTAGGAGCGTTAGCCATACATCTCTTTGTATTGGTAATCGGTTGTAAATATGCAGACTAGGATGATATAGAAACAGTGGTGGGCCTTCAGGGCCAGCTAAGCCTTCTCTGCTGGCCTAAACAGAATCACAAAGTTATAGCTATTTTATAATTTAATAATAATAAAGATTCAGCCCCTATATCTCTCTATTTCTCGGCCGGCAAACGCCAGCCGGCGAACGCCGAACGCAGAACGCCGGCCGGTGAAACGCAGAACGCCGGTCGGCCCCAGCTGTTTTTTGTTATTGTTCCGGGTTCAAAAGGTCACACATCCCGTTGTCTGTTACGCGGTCCACCGAAAACATTATATTTCCCACAATTTAAACTTCTGCATTTTCCAAATGCACTAGTATTATTCAAACGTATTGTTCGGTTTGTCAGCCTCGTACCAAACGGTTTAATACGAATACGTGTATTATTACACCAATAGAAACAAATAACCGTAGCTCAGTAGGACAGCACAGAAGGCCCATGTATAAAATGCACGGCCCGCCACCGTATAGAAAGTATACAATGTGGTAACTGGTTATACTTTGTGTTTGTTGTCATGGTCAACCGACGGTTCTGTTTGAACTCCATACTGTGATTATTCTGCATGTGACAGCTGGCAGCTCAGTTGTAAAGTAAACTGGTATTATTGGTCTTATTCTGTCCTAAGGTATGGATGGATGCTGGAACTCAGATCTTCTTCTCCTATGCCATCTGCCTGGGTTGCCTCACCGCCCTGGGAAGCTACAACAAATACAACAACAACTGCTACAGGTGAGGACTGACATGATGATGCACTAGACATAGGATCAACTGCACAACACTACCTTTCTAATCTGTCTTAAATTACAGTAAAATGCAACCTGTTGTTCAACCTCACGCTACCATGATGGTTGACATTTTATATTTACAGAACAGGAATCAAATCTCAAGTACAGACTATATTGGGTTTTCTCAACACACACACAGTTCCTAATCATTACATTCCCCTCTCTGTGTTATTTCTAGGGATTGCCTGTCCCTTTGTTTCCTGAACAGTGGTACCAGTTTTGTTGCAGGATTTGCCATCTTCTCCATCCTGGGCTTCATGTCCTACGAGCAGAACGTGCCCATCTCAGAAGTGGCTGAATCTGGTTGGTTTTTCCTCTACTGCCGTAATTATTGTGTCAATACATATCACTGATACATTTCTTTCCCTTCTGTCATTGAAACCAGTGATTCTCAACTGGTGGGTCGCGACCCAAAAGTGGGTCGCGGACCCGTTTTCAGTGGGTCGTGGGCAAAAAAAAGAAAAAAAAAAAAGTTGTGATTTTATTTTGAATAGGCATTTTTTATGCAGCGGAATTATTCCAGCATTTACGGCACTTGTTCAGCGGTGCAGGAAAAACACCGACCAATGCTGTTGTGAATCACATCACGTGATGAAGCTCAGCCAATCAAAATATGAGTATTCTGACGAGTTTCCTGAATTGAGTGAGATGTACACACACCGTGACACATGCTGGAGAGACGAGGATAGAGAGAGAGCAGGACTGTTGAGATGTGAGATGTGAAAGTCAAATCATAGGATGATTTCCAAAAGAGAGAAATATCCAGAGAGACCAGAGTCATTAGACTCTGACTGGAATTCTTCAAACACTAATTTCTCTTTTTAATAGATGAGAAAAATATAATATTGTGGCTTTTTCACTTCACCCTGAATGAACTGAATTTAAAGCTGCAGGCAATTCAGTGAAAATAATTTTTCTAAATTGAATTTCTTTACGTAATTTATTTTTTAATCCAGCTGTTATTTTACTTGAAATGAGAAGAACATTTATTCATGTATTTCTATGTATTATTTATAATCCATCCAGTTAAATTTGAAAAATGAGAATAATATTTGTTAAAATATAATTGATGTGTTTACTACACAGAGACATTACTACTACTAGACTTCTTGAATATAGATATACCCAAATTATATATATATATATATATATATATATATATATATATATAATTTGGGTCGTGGGTCCCAGCTTGTCATTAAGGGGTGATGGTGGGTCCCGCAGCCAGACCAGTTGAGAACCACTGATTTAAACTACTTGACACATTTTTTTAAATATTTTATTTTTATTTATCACTTACAGATAACACTGTGCATACATAAACTGACAAAAACTAAGAAAAAAAAAATAAAGAAACATATATTTCAAGTTTTTATATATAGGCATTCTACTGTTGCTGTGACATGTTCTTCTATTTCTGCTGAATTACTTTGGTTGAATTATTTTGAAAGACTTTAATAGACTTTAATTAATATATGAGTCAGAACAGATGCATGCAAAGCTCCCGCTTGAATTAATGGATTTCCTTCAGCCTCTCAATAGCCTCTATGGTTTTAATGATATTTATTATATACTTTCACAGCATGCACGTGAGCGAGGGTGACCAATAAGGGTGACTTTGATGACATTTCAATTATGTCCCACTCAGGTCCAGGTTTGGCCTTCATAGCCTATCCTCGGGCTGTGTCCATGATGCCTTTCTCCCCTCTATGGGCCTGCTGCTTCTTCATCATGATTGCCTTTCTGGGACTGGACAGTCAAGTGAGACCAACATATGCACCACACACACACATAGTTTTTTAAAAGCACCATGGATTAATTATCAAGCGTATATGTGCACAGATCCGCTGAAAATGTTTTGTTTGCTTGTTAGTTTTTTGGATAGCTCAGCAGCACACATGCACAAACAAACATGCATACACTCTTATATGCAAATATCTCATAGTTCTTTCTTCAATCAGTTTGTGTGCGTGGAGAGCCTGGTGACAGCCATGGTGGACATGTATCCCTCCACCTTCCGGCGCAAGAACCGCAGGGAGCTCTTCATCCTGGCGGTGGCTGTGGTGTCCTTCCTCTTGGGGCTCATCATGCTGACAGAGGTTGGTCTCAGTGACCTCACTTCATAATGTTTTTTACAGATTAAGAGTGCAGAATAAGCATTTAATCTTGTCCAAAGGAGGGTATCTACACCCCTGGTTCATGTGCAAAATCTTTTCACTCCTTCTTCAACAGAAATTTGAACTCATATTGACGATACCCAACAATCAGCTATAGGAATATAAAGAGCTACTACCTACTACAGCTTCTTGTTAACATCCTTCAGTCCATGTAAACGGCAGTTCCTTGTTCATGCGCAGCCAATTCTCTCTGTGTTGTTTGACTATGGTCCTCTTAATTATACTCTGGAAAATTGTCTTCAAGTATACAAAATGAATGAGTGGCTTTAATACTCTGTCAAATTTTAGTTTTTCCTCATAGTTTGACAGCCTGGAGGTTTTCTTTTGTTAGTTACAGGGTTATAAACCCATATCTGTCTACACAGGGCGGCATGTACGTCTTCCAGCTCTTTGACTACTACGCAGCCAGTGGGATGTGCCTGCTCTTCGTGGCTGTTTTTGAGACTGTTTGCATCGCTTGGGTTTATGGTGAGTTGTGTTAGGCAGGCTATTTGGGAAGGCATAAAGGGGGTATTTAAGAGACAAAGGCTTTATTCTCACAAGGCACTATTCATCCCAGTGCACACTGCCCCCTACATTCAGCCAATCACTAAGAATTAACACATTACAGCCAAAGAGTGTTTCGAGTGTTATTTCAGTTAGTTGGTTTATTTAGGGAATAGAGTCAGTAATATGAACCTAGCCTATTAAAGCAGTTCTCATCTTTCTGTTAATCATGACTATTATTAATCTGTTTCTTTTGTCAACAGTCTTGGCACAAATGATTGGTCGATATTGATGTGTTTCCACTGCATTTTCCCTCATCTCTCCCTGATTACAGGTGCCGACCGTTTCTATGATAACATAGAGGACATGATTGGCTATCGCCCCAGCCCTATCCTCAAATACTGCTGGCTGTACTTCACCCCTGCAACATGCATGGTGTGTCTCACATTCATTTTCGATATGAACCCGTTCACACTGTACTCTCCTGAAACAAGAGCAGCCTCTGCTGGCCAACAGTGAACATACAATGACAATTATTTAAGTTAAGGTTAAAGGTTTTTATCAGGTTTTGACTTAAAGCATTTACTAGTTTTTCAAATATCAGGTATGTCGTATAGGCAACGTCCATTCATACAGAATCATAAAATATCGTTGTCTGTTTTTAGGGAACCTTTGCTTTTGCCTTGATCAAGTACTCACCTCTGAAGTACAACAATGAATACGTATACCCATGGTGGGGCAATGGGATAGGCTGGATCCTGGCTCTGTCCTCCATGCTGTGTATTCCTATCTGGATAGCAGTGAAACTGTACTACACATCGGGAACATTGAGAGAGGTAAGTTTTACCTAAAGAAAATCAAAGAAAATCTTTAAAAGTGCTAATGAATGAATGAAGCGTGAAAAGATAGCAGTCCACATGATGACAGAAACTTGGGAAATGAATTGTGTTGAAGCTGCTCTCATCAATATGTTTGTATTCGCACTAGATCACATGATTATGTGAAAGAGATCGCTCTCAACAAACTCAGCCAGATGTTTCCCTCACGAGTTGGTGGAGACCAAAATAGTTGGACATAAACTGAAATGGTTTGCTAACACGTTCTCCATAACAACTTTATAAGGCCATACTCTGTCGATTTATAGTGTTTAGAGCAAGTATGCTGACAAGTTAAGTTATGTGTTGTTTTTTAATAAAGCCTAAAAATAGATTCTTTAAATTCATAAGGGGCATTATTGTGATCTAGTGGGTAAGGCGTTGACAAAATAACCGCAGTGCTTTCTGTTTTTGTGCTGCCATGTGTTGTTGCATTACTGATCTTGAATAATCTCTGAGATAATGTCACAGATTAGATAATTTATGTTGGTTGTTTAAATATTTAGTTTGAAAATAGTCATCAATTTCTCAAACAAGGTATCAATGACATACTGTAGCAACCTTTCCTCCATTGAACCCATTTTTCGTTCACAGCGCCTCGTTATCTTGACCACACCTTCCCCCGATTTACCGAAGACGAAGCAGGAACAGGAGAAGCTGCTGGCCGTCTTTGCGGCCGACGGCGACAGCCTCCATCAGAAGTCCCCTCCCTCTAAGGACGGCTACTTCCCCGTTGATGAAAAGGAGTCTCACTGCTAGAGAGCTTGAGGGTTGGAATCAGAGCCCCGGGCGTCAAAGGTCACTCCTCAGCTTTGACACTCTGTCCGGCCCCATTCCAACTCCCTCCGCAATACCTCACCAGACAAGGTGGCGAAACGGGCACGGTGCAGACTTTAGGAGTCACCCGACCTGTAACTGCTTATCTGCTGCTTTCTGAGCTTTCTCTTAAGTACACTGCCTTCAGTATGACGGCATCAGGATTGCTACTTAGAGAGTTACATCAGTTGGTTATCATCTCATTTGCCAGTGGCAGAGTCACATATACACTTGAAACAAAACAAATGTGGCCATTGTTGTAACAGAGTGGCAAGGAATTTACTTTTGATGGTGTCTGCTTTCTAAGGAAGCATTTTTTTTTTCTCTTATGGACATCTCTAATGTTCAGTTAGTTTGACATGACATTCCAGTTTATTGATTCTAACAGCTATCTGATGCGGACGGAGCACAAGAGGTGTCACATGAATAAAAGCTGTGCGTTTCAATGCACTTCTGTACTGTATACACAAGCGTAATTCCATCAATGGATCCGAGTTATCATCTCAGGATGTAAGATTTTCTAATGAAAACAAATCCTACAAAGCTATACTAATAACCAATGCTTCACAATTCAATAATTGATTTTTAATGTATATTTAGCTCAACTGACCACGACTCAACTCAAGTAAGCTTTGCTCTTGTTTGGGGGTTTTTTCAGATTAATGTTATAATGCTCATTTATTCAATGTTTATTTCTTTTGCTGAACATTGCAGAGTGGCATGAATATGTCACATGCTTTTTTTCTGTCTTCTGATTATTGACATGATTTTAATTTAGTTGGTTTTGCCTTATTTCTAATGCATTGAACTGTATGGAATTAAAATGTTAAGTGCCTGTGCCATTTAGATAATATGAGCAGGGCAGGCTGGTTGATCTCTCTTTCTGCTGTATAATAATGAACTTCAGCATGGGTTTCTTTAGATGTTTGAATGTGTATATGGTCCGTTATTGCTGATAGGGAATACTTTTACAACTTTTAACTTTTTTATGCTGAAATTATTTTTTATGGCTGAATAAAAAATACTTTCATTTAAAATGTGTATGCGTGTTTATATACTTTCATGATTAAACATTAAACAGTAATGTAAAATAGTAAAATACAATATATTTTTTTTATCTTTTGGGCAGTTGCAGTTTAATTGATTCAATTTCTTTGAGCTTTAATTCCCTTAGAAAACAAGTTTTTAAAAAATATGGCAAGCGTTCGTGTAATGTATGTTCCATAATTAGATTTTAACATTGTGAGTGATCTTGGTAAAATATGTGTAACTGTTATCTAGACAATACAATGTAGTATATGTCTGGACCTATCTAATAACATGCTATATATTTCTTTATTAGAAAATATCTAAACTTGTTTGTTATGATATACCCTTTTAATTAATCTCTGTGTTAACATTGGACTCACAAAATGCCACCTTTTATGCAACTTTAATATATTCGCCATGCAGTGTCACAGAAAATGATTGCGTGAATCCTATATAATCCTTCAAGGTCCATCACAGATATAAATAAACTGAGACATCTGTCACTTCAATTTCAGTTTCATATAATTTCCTGTCTGTGGAATGCATAAAGGACTTGTTATAACGTCAAAATCCATAGGGTGTACCCATGTGGAAAATTCACTTCCCTGTCCCTCACATCTTCAAATCAGCAGACTCTTGGTTCATTCCTACGGAAGACAAGAATGGCCATTTTCGCACTTATTTTTTGACGCTGTTATCTCGAGATCACACGTTAATTCATCTCATTAAAACAGGCTTTGATGTTTTGAGATCACAAGATAACTAACTGGTGATCATGAGATAACAAAGTTATTTCTTTCGTGATAAGTGTTTACCTAGACACAAAAGTATGAATGGCTTGTACAAGCTGCTGTTTATAGTCAGTGATGCTGGGGAAATGACTTACACAGCGATTTCTGGAGAAATTACAGCATAAGGAAACGTTGCAACATCATACGTAAATGTAACAATATGCATTACCTAATTTAAGGCAGCCAACTAATCTGAAAGTAACTCCACTTCCCCTATATGGTATGACAAGTGTTGCTATATACTCTGTTGTCGCTGCTCTCAGTGCTGCTGTTTTCCCTTTCATCACAAATCAAAAGGAGGTGTGGAAGACTCTGCTGCAACTCTCTGAGGACGAGAGCCGATTCTTCAGCAAGACAACACAGAACTCCACCAGCCTAGAAAACAAAAAGGAATGGGTGGGGTGCTTCTTGTCAAATGAGCAGCTCCTACAAGTTGAGGACTGTTAACAGACTGATTACAAAGGGAAATAATGATTCACACTTTTCGAAAACTATGTATGTGGTGAAAATAGCACCGAAATCTGAGCCACGACAAAAGGAGAATCGGGAACCAGTCAGAGTTTGAATTACATATATGTTTTTACTATTCTATATTTTTTAGATCCAAGTATATCAAACTAATGTCTAAGATTTGATTATCAGTTGTATAATGAATAGGTAGTGATTTACTTAAGTGAAAGGAATAATACCACAATGTAAGAATACTCCACATCAAGTAAGAGCCCATGCATTAAATGGTATTTCTTAAAAGTACAGAAGTACCACATATCAACAACCATTCTTAAACTATCAAAAGCAAAAGTACTCATCATGCAAAAGAATGGTATTTTATTGTATAATTTCATATGTTATTATTGGATTAATATACTGCTGCATAAACATGTAAGCTGCATTGTAATGTTGTATGTGGCTAGTTGAGCTGTCGCTGATTTTAGATACTCTGTATACTGTTGGGTCCTCTGTATCATCTTTTTCCCCACATTGCTAACAGGTGAAGAGTTTCTGCACACTACTCACCTGGGAAAACTATTTGAATCAATCAAAAGACAAAGAAACTACAACCACCTGTGTTTTTTACTAGAGCAACTTTCTTTCTTAAAAGTATGACCTGCCAATTCTATATATTTCTGGCACTTGACCGATTTAATTAAATTTTTGATTTTATAGAAAATTAAAATTCAATTGTTTGTGGACATACTGGCATGATTTTCATAATTTCCACAAATGATGGTGTTTTGACATTTTCTCTGGTGCTGATTTCAAGCCAAAGAACTCCACCCAAAAAGGACGGGGGGGTGTAGTATTTCCTTATTCTAACTCTGAACAGTGTGTCCTAAAGCTGTATGAATAAATGCAGGACTAATCAAAAAAAACAATACACATGCATGCTAAAATACAATGATACGATTTCAAGATAATTAAGATGTGAGAAGTACGATGACCTTAAATAAATATCAGGAAAACATGGCAAATGTTTTACATCACGTGTTACACCTYACACAACGCCTTCWGATGAATGTTAAGACAACTTAAGTTTATTAACAAGAAAACTCCACAGGACATCGTTACTTCAAAAAATGTCACCATAGTTTATATCTCCTTACACACAGAGAAGATAATTCATATAAACATGGTACGTGTGTGTGTGTGTGTCTGTGTGTGTTGAGGGGAAATACAGAAAAGTGATCCACAATAAGCTGTCCAGTCTAACAGCACTGCAGGTGAAACATGAGGGAGGATCTTAGACTCTTTTCAGTGTCAAATCACCAACATGAAACAACATGTTTACGTTTCACACCTGGGAAAACTAGTTCAATCAAACAGAAGTCAAATAAACAGCCAGACCAACTTTGTTAGCCAAGTCGATTACTTAAAAGTATGACCTGCCAATTCTACATATTTCTCATAACTGTAATTGACCGATTTAATTAAATTTTTAATTTCATAGAAAATTTAAATTAAATTGTTTGTTAAAGATAAAACACTGACTATTACACATTTTACATTTTCTCCAAAAACTGCACCGAGTTACAGGGTTACATTTAAACTGACAGAATAATGGTGCTAGAACTGTAATGAAAATAATAATAATACAGTTATATAATAATAATACATGTTATTAGGGCAGAGCTTTTTTTATAATTTATTTTAACTAAACTCTTTATTTCTGCAGGAAAGAATCTAAATACAAGACGAGAGGTTTGTATTATAGCTCACTCTCAACCCATTAAATATCAGACCAGGCTCACTTACAAGAGCTTCTGCCCTCTGGTGGCTGGAGGAAGCTATCAACAGGTGGGCGTCGCTCCATCTCCACTTTGGACTTTCTTCAAGTTCAAGTCTTCAAAGTAACAAATGCAGAACAAATAAAAAAAAAAAATAATATATATATATATATATACACACACATTTTGTATACATGTATATGTGAGAGGAGTATATTGTTCATACAAGAACAACTGCAAAACACATTTAGTTTGGGAAGTAGATTTATTAAATACTAATTACATACCATTTATAAACATACCTCATCAGAACCATTTGTGGTATTTCAAAGTAGAGGAGCCGGAGTATTTCTTTGAGGGTTCTTTACCATCAAGAGATAAATAAAGCCTTTGAGCATGGAGTACAGACTGATTCACTGTCAGTAACTGGAATCATCACTGGTTTGGTTTCGCCCTGCACCTGGAAGTGGAAAGGGAGAGACAGCGAGATCCTTCTTGTGGCACTGGCACTCTGTGGCACTCTGTGGCACCCCGCGGCACCCTCTGGCAGCTTGTGGCACCTACTGACATACATACATACATATACATATAAGCAGAGGAAGAGTGAAGATATTTTCAGACATGTATTTTTGGATTGGACATTTTATGGGTTTTCATTTTAAATTTGTTTATATATATATATATATATATATATATATATATACTTTTAAATGATAATAAAACGGATGATTTATTTTCATTATTTTAGCCGATTGTTGTAAATGACTATAAAAGTAATAATTTGGAAAGAGTATTATGTTCCCTTTTGTTGCAAAACCAGCAAAATCATACTTAAATAAAATGAATGAGAAACAAAAAAGTACAACGTCATTAATTAAGGATGCATACAGAGAACGGGTGGCTCCGGTGACTCAACTAAAATTATAAAACTGATTTACGGAAACTGACCTGTTGTAACAACAATGTGTGTTCTCAGGAAATGTCTCAGAAAATGTGGTTCCGCCCCCTCAGCTCCGCAGCTTCTTGACGGGTTCCGAACTAGTACCGCTCGCCTGCATCAGCTGACGCTTGCCGCTGAAGTGCCACAGAGAGCCAGTGCCACAAGAAGGATCTCGGCCCTGCACTGGAAAGGTGTAGTTGGACAGGTCTGCTCACTTCATTCTGATACACCCGACTGACATTTACCGTTCTTGGTTTGTTTGCAGTAACGCAAACTCGACTCTGATGATGAGATGCAGAATAGAGACACTGCCAAACAAATGCATTATATGAACAAACATAACGTTCCCATTTACCACTAATATTGCGCACTATCCATACTGCTTGTCACGTGGAGGCGGGCCCGCTAGCGGGGCGGTATCAAACAAGAGGGTAAAACACATCGCATTCATGACTGAGCTTAAAAGCTAAAATGATCACCCTACCAGATGATTGCACATGTCAGTCACCCGGGATCAGAGAGGAAAAGCCTTAAAAAGCAGCATACAGAGGGCTCCTCGGTGCAGATAACATAAGCCGACTATTTGAAAACACGGAAGTAGGAAGTGCTAAGGCCCGCCCATTTACGTCCAGCACTACGGTAGACTGGATGTCAACAACACGTCTGTGACAATAATCAACACAGGACCAAATACGCAAGTTAACAAATACAACGAAGGTGAATTAGTGAAGCTACTTAGCAAGCGGTTGCTTATCTGTTCACTGGTTCTCACATAACTAAATTGTCTCGCGTTTGGGAAGTTTAACCTCAATGATAAATCATATTCCACAAACCAGTATTATGTTTTGGATGAAAAATTGTAATCTGCACGCAAACACAGTAACTACAGCAGCTGACAGATTGATGTAGTGGAGGAAAACACAATATTCCCTCTGAAATGTAAGAGTAAAGAAGCAGAACATTTAAATGCTCTAGTAGCAGGCCTACCAACACATAAAAATTATGCTTATTTACAGGAGGTACTTGTTGCA